AAAATACCTAAATATTTATCTTAGACCTTGGGATGACCTTGTACAAGAAACATTAATGTTGACCTCGGTTCATCTAATCATAATTCGCCAAGGGCCATAGTATCATCAAACGCCAAATACCTAGACATTGATCGTTTACTTGGATTTAAATAAGGAGTATGATTTTAAAATTGGCTAGGTCGTGGTTAAGCAACAATAGTATGTTCGAAATACCGCTGTGTAATGCCTGGATCACATTTGCTGCGAGTATTTTGTTCAAAATTGAATACATTTCTGAACACAATACTCAATCGGCCGGGCGCCGTAGTGAAAATCGGAGCAAATGTGACCAAGACATAAAACAATTGAATAATACTGTATCAGTTTCACATTTACAGCGGTCAAAAGCATTTACAAAAAAACCGCCAGAGTTGGCAATCATATAAAATGAAACCAATCCCGCTGTGATTCATAGAAATAACTAATTTACTGCATTAAGTTCAATGTTATAACCATGTCGATTTACATGAGTGTCCGATTCATTGTACCAAATTTAAACCTTGACTGTTCTCCAGAAAGCAATAAGCTGACATATATCATATTTTACATTTTAATACATCTGAAAAGATAATAAATGTTTTAATATAAAGTTGACGTAGTTATAAATGTTTTCAGCGTAAAATCAAAGCACAACCATATAATTAAAAACATTACGCTGGGATTCCAACTGGATACAACTGACGAGTTGTATTTAGGTGGCCTAAAGTGCTGCTTATTTTTTCGTGAAGCCACTCAGTAAAATTACGATTTCTCTCAACCCTGATGTTCAATCAACATCATTCGAGTATCTATATTTTCCTGACACGTTCGGGCATCCGGTTATGACAACGTCTACCCAATGTTTGCACGAGAAATTGACGTAATTCATGACTGAAATCGGGAAGACAAAAATATGTGATATTCTTTCAGAATTGTTTATAATAACTATTTACAAAAACGTTCTCGAGACACAATCCATTTAGGTAGGGTTTGTTTTAAAGTCGAAAAGCCACAATAAGACAATACAAACCCAGATTAAACCCAGAAGAATGCAGATTTCATGTAATGATTTACGTTCATGTAAACAAAGTACGGAAAGTACATATAATCCCCATATAAAACACTGGCCTACGTGACATGTAAACACAGGTTCAAATTGAAATATAGAAAATTTTCAACATAGATACGACGTCAGATACATGTAAGATACTGTACATCGCGGCATTTTACTGCATTTTTACATGCGTTCTTACTTTTAAAACCGCGCGCAATATCTCGACAGCAAAATCATATTTTTCTACAATTTTTCGTCATCAGTTGAACACGTATGTCCATGAAATATTTTGCCTATCAGAATTCCAAATAACTGATTTGTGACTTTTTAAATGCGAATCACGCAAGCCGTATTATGCGACTTTATATGCTAAAACCGGGTGTGGACTGTAACATTTTGAAGAAAAATGATTTCAATTTTAAACGAAAAATGAAGATAACTTTTTCATTTCTTAACGGATCTTTCTCAAACTTTCACAATATTTAAATTCACCATTTTGAAAAAGACAAACAGATTCTGGTTGATGACGTCATAATATAACAATGCTAACTTAACGCTTATATTTATGCAAAAAAAGTGTGGACAGGCAGAATTTCGTACCAACAAGATATATATTTTGATCAATTAAACATTAAATCGTTTGAAAGGTGAATTATTATTTTTTGATTCCTGAAAGGCATATCATATTCTATATTTTTATCAAAAAACTATATCATTTCGATTGACATTCAGTCTGTAAGAAGCATAAATTGAAAGAAATATGAAGTGAAGCCATGTGAAAAATTCACAAAATTACGTTTCATTTTTTGAGTTCAAATATTTCTAATTAAGGGATAAATATTCAAAACTTTTCAATGTTTCAGCATGTTCTTTTAAATATACCCCTTACTACATACAATTAATTTCATTTAATTTGATGCAGTATATATTGAGATAGACATCATTTTATCACCGCAACCCCAAGTGAAGCCTTTACAAAATAAGACGTTATGCCGTTAGCGTATTATATGTTCTCCTTTATTATTCATTGCTTCAAATAAATAAAACTAAATATTCGAGTTAAAATCAATTACAAATAATGCATTTAACAATCCTTAATATCTTCCCGTCTGTGTATATCAGTTGAATATGACAAGGGGCACTTTGAAAGTGTCTAGAAAGACGGTGCGACAACGAGAGCGCGGGGCCGAAAAGCGCGACAAAGAAGAAAACGGGTAGGGTTTGAAATGTCTACTTTCTGGTGATTCTAATTCTGTATATCGTGATACAACCTTTTTGAATATAGAATTGTATTGAAGCACACATTAATCTGAACAAAACTTGAAGTTTTTAAGAAGATTCCACGAATATTAAAACTTCTGCAATTACTTGGAGGAGCATTGCGCATATTTATCGCGTAAATCTTTGCATTTTGTCGGTAAAATGGACAATTACAATGTTACGCCGTGATGTACAGTATCTGACGTCGTATCATAGCATTTGCTTCTGTGTTCTGTATGCCCCTCTACCTGCTAATAAGGCAATGTATCTTCAAATAAAACCTTAGCCAAGTAGATAAGGAAGTTGTAAATAGTTTTCACAAGCAATTTTATTCCCGGACGCCCAAACGTGTCAGGAACACATATATATTTGAATGATCTTGATTGGACATCAGGTTGCAGAGAAATCGTATTTTTACTGAGTGGATTATTGAATTTCATAGATCTAGAGGCCCTTCGGGAGTGGAAAACCTTAAATTATCAGAGATTAATGTTTCCAAACTGTTTTGAAACAAACTAACGTCTTGTTTTCAACCTACACCTTGCTCCTTTCTGTCGTATTTAATAAAACAAAAATAGTATATCACGGAGGGATACGAACCACTCACCTGGGACTTGGTTATTCACTAGCGCCATAGGCGTTCTACTATTCTGGATACAACTGACGAGTCGTATTAAGTGGAGACAAAAGTGAGGATCATTTTGAATTGACGCTCGGTATAAATATATAATACTTTTGTTCTTTCATATCGGTAGCTCGTTGGTCTAATGGTTAGCGTGCCTGGCTTCCATAGTCTAGGTTAGTTGATCGAGACCCGTTCATGTCGAACTTTTTGATTTGCTTGTTGTCAAGATATAATAAGTAGGGCAAAATCCAGAAAAAGTAGATCAAAAATACTCCAATGGAGTATAAAATTGTCACCAGGATTCCGGAATGAGACGAATGTTAACTCGTGAAATCTCGGTAGATAAGGTAGGTCAGAAAATCCGGATTAATCCGAACAAGGTTCGGGAATTTCCGTCACAAGAAGTAGGTCAAAAATACTCCAATGGAGTATAAAATTGTCACCAGGATTCCGAAATACGACGAATCGAATCGGCAAACTTCGGTACAATAATGAAGTGCATAAAAATCGTGAAACAGGTGTCAGGGGCTTCCCCTCATCTTTCCATAAATGGTTCTAAAAGCCTTATATGGATCTATCACGTGACATTCAAAATGACGTTCCTATATGGTTCTATGGGCCTTATATGGATCTTTCGAACACGTGACCAAATCAAAATCAAAATCAAAATTTTACCTTGACCATTGGATGGGATTCCATAGAAAATATCAAAGAAAACATATTCTCGTGATCCTTAAATCACTTAAATTCGATCATTTTATCTTCACCCCTTGATGGAATTTTATGAAAGAAGTTATGAAAACACATCATCATGTAAGGGTTTTCACCTAAATTAGCTCGTTTTATCTTGACCCTTCAATTGAATTTCATTGAAAAATGTTTCATGAAAAATATCATGTTATGATTTGTATTTAAATAAGACCGTTTCATTTAAATACTTGCTGGATAATATTTCATAAAAAATGCACTTTAAAAATATTTCAGGATTTGCCTTAATTTATCAATGTAATGTAAGTATTAGATTGACTCTCAAATAGGGTTCTATTTTAACTTTTTTATTGAAATTAATACTAGGCAGGACTCACTCTCTAAATAGCTAATAAAAATTCAACCCTTGGATGTGATTTCGTTGAAAAAAAAATATGACAAGTCCAGAATCAAATGATTTGTCCAGAACCTCTTAAGATCCTGTTTCCTAATGACTCATCCCCCTATTTCAGGGAAGGAAGGACTTTACTCACTTATTCCAAAAGCATTCCTTAAAATATACTCTTTGCCCATGAAGGAATTCTTCAATTAGTACAGATCACATGTGCAGTTGAGCATAATGTGCTGTTCAAAAGGTTTGCGTGAGACCCCCACGTGGCAAGGGGTAGGGAGAGTAACCTAGTGAGTCAATTAATGCAAAAAACAAGAATTAAAATCCCATCCTCTGGGTCTATATAAACATTGAAACAGGCTTTTGACCCAAGATAGGACATTTCTTAAATAGTCATCATAGAATTTCTGATCCAATTGTGCCATCTCCACTTTCTTGTATTTCTAGGGTAGGGGTCAACAAAGCTATATTAAAAAATAGAACTTAATCATTACATTTCTTATAAAACAATGTCGTACATAACTTGGAAATGATTTTTGAATACTACTTGGAGCACTATTACTGCCTATTATTTCTCTGAAGCTGCAACAATAGAATTGGTGAAACTAAAAAAATGAACAGTCAAACATATGCTTTTTTATTTCTATAAATTATGTTTTCTCTAAACCAATCAACACATCTCTCGATAATTTAAGGATACACTTAACCACTTTACTAGTGACATATTATGTAGAAACCAGTACTATAGCAACTATTTAATTGATGTTATAGAATGATAATATAATACCCCCCCCCTCCTCAAATATTCTAATGGGGTATTATTAAATGTTTTATGTTAACAAATAATAATAAATATTATTATTATAACGACCAATTTATAATTTACATTCTAATCTCTCTAGTACAGAGACTATGTATCTCAAACTGAGGCTAAACGTTTTACAGTTCAAGGGGATACTGTAAACAAAGAATACGATGTAAGATTAGCTGGTGGGGATGAAAATGAAGGACGTGTGGAGATTTACTTGAACGGTACATGGGGACGAATTTGCAAAGATGGTTGGGATCTGAACGATATTAGAGTTGTGTGTAGACAACTTGGATTCAGCGAGAACAACCTCATCTCTATGTATGGTTTTAGCTGGTGTAAGATAACTAACTATTATGTTCGCGTTCTAAAGCGTCTGCACAAATGTGTTAAATAAATGTTCACGAACACTCAAATGGTCATCATAGTTGATGAATTTGTCAAAATCACAAAACAAAAGAGTACTTTCGATTCGATCTTTGAAGGAAACTGTATAATTCGATACGCAGCTTGTTTTATAACTTGTTGATAATGGCATGATTTCAGCTTTAGGTTCAATACCATCTCAATAGCAAATATGAGCATTGCTCAAAAATATTCAGTTCTCAAACGGCACTGAATTTCGTCCAAAATGTTACCAAGTTCCAAAAGTTGGTACCAAAAACACCGAAAACGACACCAAATATGTATTTGCTCATTTCACTGGAACCAGATTGTATATTTGCAGAAATGAAATGATACCAAAAAGTTACCGCTGCTCATTTCTTCAAATATATATTTTCCCTAAATAAGCTGACGCTACTTCACTTTTTGTTAAAGGTAGAGTCTCTGAAAGGTTCTCTGGATTAAGTTAAACCGAAGGTTTGGAAAAATACTAATGAACGAATTGATAACTTGAATACAATATAATTTACGTGTACATTTAAGAAAAGGGGGCGTGGTCATTGGCTAAACTTTAACAATCAACATTTTGATCCGACTCCAGTGTTGTCAACAACAGTATAACTATGTGCTAAATTTTATATTCTATCACTAATAAGTACGCATGCGTCACATTTCCACTAGCATAAAAATAGTAACTTTGTCAACGTTAAAAGATGAAGATTGCTTGAAATCTAGTAGAGATCTAATACAAAACGCTCTAGACGATCGTGATTACAATATTACAATATGACTATCGGGAGATGATGTCTCCTTCATGCTTTAGATGGTCGAAGTGAACATCCATTCTCCCTAACAAATGTAGACTGCAATGGAAATGAAGGTTCTTTGAAAGATTGCAAACATGCTCCAATATGGAATCTCGGTCAGTGTTCATCAGGGAGAAAGGTAAAAGTATCATTATGAGTTTCTACGTTAAAGTATTGTACTCCCTCTCACTAATAGTTGACGCTATTATTTTTGTCGACTTTAGCAATTTCCGCAGCTAATTCGATAATTTTCTGTTTTTATTCCTTCCGCACATGAGCGATATGCGCATGAGTGATATGCACATGAGTGATATGCACATGAGTGATATGCACATGAGTGATATGCATATGAGTGATATGCGCATGAGTGATTTGTACATGAGTGATATGCATATGAGTGATATGCACATTGCACATGAGTGATATGCATATGAGTGATATTGACATGAGTGATATGCATATGAGTGATATGCGCAAAAAAGACAAAAATGATTCAAAGAGACCAAAAGTGAATCAAAATTGATTTGGCTAGAAACAATATCATAGTTTCAATTCATATCGCTTTTTTGTTTTTCGTATTTTCTTAAGAGAGGTAAAAATTATGAATTAATAAAAACAGAAAATGTTGTCTATTATGAAAGTAATTTCGATTTTAAATATATTAATCAGAATAAGCCATACAAGCAGATTGATATTTTGAATTGTAAACTGTTACTCTTAATTGATCTCTAAAGACTTTACTGTCCCTTTGATTAAAGGCCTGAACATTGATCTTTGTATTTCACGCAGTCCTATGTTAAGTACGCCATAGCTGTATGCAAGGCCCGAATTAGGCTAACTGGAGGCCCTGTAAACTCATCGGGAAGGCTGGAGATATTCTACGAAGAAGCCTGGCGACCTGTTTGTTCTAATACCCTATGGACCCCAAGTACTACTCAACGGAGAATCCAATACGACCTTGACATCATTTGTGAAATGGTGGGAATTATCTCAGAAAATCCATACAAAATAGGTGCAAATGCATTCGGACATCTCCCATCAAATAATACAACACTTTGGTCCTTTGAGTCCAGCCTTTATGGGAAAAGATCGAGATTCGTTGGTCGTGCTGGGTGCTCTAATGGAGAATACGAAAGCATAATTTGTCGCCGAAATCAAACAGGTAACAAAAAGCCATGAATGAGCAACTATTGATACAGATGAATAAAAAGCTGTAACTATAAATACATACTACTGGTAAACCTAAGCTTAACTTGAAATATCTTATTTCACAACACGTTTTTTTAGAAATAGCAACAGAAGTTCGCATTATTGGCACAAGTGGTCATACTGGCAAAGTGGAAATCAAGAACTATGGATATTGGGGAGGAGTGAGTCGAAGAACAGCTGAAAATCTTCACGAGGTTGTGTGCAGACAACTGGGCTTTGATCCCAAGAATGCTTTTAGAATGATCACTCCAGAAGAATACAAAAGAAAAACTCCCGTATTCCCAAAAATATTTAATTGCACAGGTGAAGAATTTGATTAATAATCATTATTATATAGGAAACGCCTCTTTTACCAAAATGCGAACAATGCTTTTTTCATATCTCAACCAGGTCATTGAATACCATTAAAATTAAAACTTTTGTCCATAATTATCATTTGAACCTGTCCCTTGCCTCAACAAGAATTCATAATCCATTCATTTGGACTAATATTTTTATGACAGATTGGCCTATAATCCATGTGCTTTTAGGCGAAGAAGAGAGAATTGAAGATTGCTGGCAGAGCTCTTTAATGGTCTATTATAAAGGTGTTACTAGGGTTTACGATGGATATGACTTACACGTCACTTGTGATTTTCAATTACGATTGGTTGAAAGTGAGCCCGGCTCAAAAGTTGGTCGAGTGGAAGTTCTACACAATGGGAGATGGAATTCCATTTGCGGTAAATTTAATCCAAGAGGCGCAGTAGTAGTTTGTAAGAAACTGGGGTTGAATTGGAAATTTGCTCAACCGTTAGACAACATACCAAACTTGCCAAATATCACCCACTCGCTTGCCCTGAAATTCGTGAGCTGTAATCCAAATGTTGAGCAAGGTGAATGTTTACATTCATTTGGAAGATGCTTTTCTGGACATGCCAAACTTTTGGAAGCTGGAGTCTCATGTGGGAGTAAACTATTTAGTGGTAAGCATTTCCATAACTGTAGTGTAACTGTAGTGTACTGAGTTAACTGAGCCATAAAGGCTAGCCACTACAGCTGAGACTGTAGTAGCGACTTGTTATCGAATGTCATTACACCATCCCCCCCTAACTGATCGTAACTGATTCACAAGGACAATCCCACTTCTGACACCAATGTAACGACCCTTGGGCACGCCCGTCGAGGAGCTGTAGTGTACCGAGCCAGATACTAGACTCGAAAGAGAATGTGCTAAAAGCTCTAAATCTGAGCCATAAAGGCTAGCCACTACAGCTGAGACTGTAGTAGAAACTTGTTGTCGAATGTCATTACACCATCCCCCCCTACCTGATTCACAAGGGCAATCCAACTTCTGACACCAATGTAACGACCCTTGGGCACGCCCGTCGGGGAGCTGTAGTGTACCGAGCCAGATACTAGACTCGAAATAGAATGTGCTAAATTCAATATACGAGAATCGAACCCAGGACCTTCCGCTCTCGAGTCAGACGCTCTACCCCTGAGCCATAAAGGCTAGCCACTACAGCTGAGACTGTAGTAGCGATTTGTTATCGAAGGTCATTACAATATATACTCCCATTACAATATCGTACCTCAATCCTTCTCACATGCACATGTTAAAATTAGGAGAATGTGACCTACTTTTAAAAATATTCATTTTCGTTTCTCGTACCTGATAATTACACAACTTTTTAACAAAAATATATCTAATTAATAAGAAACCATTTGAAAGAAAGAGATTTGGCAATTTTGAAGGATACTGTCAGACAAAGTGAGAAAGCCCATTGGGCAAAATATATTTATTTATTTTCTAAAGTACATAAAATGCAACTGAATTAGTGGTAGCATCATTCGTCGACATTATCATTTGCGTTATCTCAAAGCTTGAGCGATGTTTATTCAGTATTATTACCACCTTGCCGGGCCAGTTCTAGGGGTTTTAGTGCTAGTTTAGAAGGCATTTATTTTTCGACCTGAGAAATGTGTGACGTCATAGTGGTGGTCCATATGGACCGGTCTAGAATATATTCTGGACCGGCAATTTTCCCAGGGAAATTAGATATCGTTCAATGCGTAAGATTTTCTTGCTGTTTCAGTCCTGGTCGTTAACGGTGGTAATAATACTAATAACGTCATTTCTGCGAGCAATATATTGCCCTTAGAAATGACGTTATTGTACTATTACTTTTTCTCAAGATTTCTTGGATCCGGTTTGCCCCGGTTATTTAACAATCGTCAGAGAGGTGTTTAGGTACGCAACGAACGAAATGATTTCGAGGACGCTGATATGATAGGAATGATGTTCAATAAATATTTCAATGACTAATTTATATTTGAATAAAACAATGATTTATTTTTCCTCTAGATCCAAAGCCGGCTAATCAGATTCGAATAGAGTATCGTGGTACGTATGTCCAGCTCCAGGTACAAGGTAGTCTTGGTGAATGGTTCCCTGTTTGTGGCACCAACTGGACAACAGAGACTTCGCAGGTTGTTTGCAAACAATTGGGATTTAAAGCTCATTATGGCTTCACTCTTAAACCATATGAAATATATGGGGACTACCAGAGGCAAATCATAACTAATTTGAATTGCAATGGAAGTGAGAAAACGCTTGGGGATTGTTATTATACTAAGTGGACAGCACTTTACGGCCGTGCGAGTCCTTGGCATGAAACGCAAGCACTTGAATGTGGCTCAAATGGGATTCAGATATCTTGTGTTGATACATCAACGAGACCCCGATTAGTTGGAGGCCAGAGTAACAGCACTGGTCAACTTGAAATATGGTATAAGGACAAATGGAGGAAGGTTTGCCTTTTCAAAGGTTTAGCTATTGATGGAACAAGATATATTAAGGGAGTAAAAGAATTTAATACGAGAGCAGCTGAATCAGCGTGTTTTAGTCTGGGACACAAATATGGTAGAGTGGGAACATATGGTGCATTTAATAAAAAGACACATGCAGGCAAACGTAAAAAAGGCATTTGGATTAGTTGTTCAGAATATGATGTAGTACAGACGTGTAAAATTATAACAAGATATTGTAGTAGTTTTCTCCTTGTTTCCTGCTTCAATGAAAAACCAAGTAAGAGCTAGGATTCAAAATTAGCCCCATTCTATTTTGTTCCCTCTGTTGAGAACAATTGTGCGCCCAACTCACTCAGTTTCCGACATTTGGTTTAAGAACCTTTCAATTGCAAGCTACTCTTAATTCGCAAAAAACATAGCAATATCCTATGACAGGCCTTCTATACAGTGTACTTCCACTAACGCGATCATCAGTTCCGACCTCGCGAACTACGTTCCTTCCACCCGAACCGCAGTTCTCAAAACGCGAATATCAATTCTTTAGTCGCGAACCACAAGTTCCTTTCTCCCGAATATATTTCTTCACTCGCGTACATACATAGTTCCCACATCGCGAACAACACAGCACCTTGACCTCCATGAAGTGTCGACCTAAGCAGAAGTCTAATATCAACGCACACGAAATATGTATTTAACCATATACACATTCCCACCTGTCAGAATTGGTTGATTTTGTTTCAGAATTGGTTGATTTTGTTTCAGAATTGGTTGATTTTGTTTCAGAATTGGTTGATTTTGTTTCAGAATTGGTTGATTTTGTTTCAGAATTGGTTGATTTTGTTTCAGAATTGGTTGATTTTGTTTCAGAATTGGTTGATTTTGTTTCAGAATTGGTTGATTTTTGTTTCAGAATTGGTTGATTTTGTTTCAGAATTGGTTGATTTTGTTTCAGAATTGGTTGATTTTGTTTCAGAATTGGTTGATTTTGTTTCAGAATTGGTTGATTTTGTTTCAGAATTGGTTGATTTTGTTTCAGAATTGGTTGATTTTGTTTCAGAATTGGTTGATTTTGTTGACTTCGAAATGTTCGGAGAAGAATCTCGCAACCCTAATCAGTACTATGACCTGGCATATGGCATTCTCGAAGTTGACGGCCATGAGGTCAAAAAAGATATTTATATTGATCTTGACGGCCATGAAGTCCAAGAAGCCATTGATATTGATCTCTACATTTGTGCCAGCAAGTTTGGTATAAAAGAAGCAAGGGTTGCTTGCCGTCAGCATGGTAAATATAAGATGGTAACATAGTCCATTTGTCACCCATATGCATCCTATAGTGAACCTATGAATTGTTAAGAACACGATGTTTTTTTTATTAATTTATGAATCGTTTCCTGAAGAGATTTGGCTGGGTTGGATAAAAAGTAAGTTTAAATATTAAAATATAATTAAATATAATTGAGGGTTCCCTTAGTGATTTAATTTGGTTGCCGAAAATAACTTTAGGAGAAAATTATTTATGCACATTTTGGTGGCCATGATTGAAATATTGAATATCTTCCATATCTTAAAAAGTAAGAATGATAGCACCACCATCGTTGTCTATGTTTTCAGGGTCAATAAATAATATTCGGTAATGTTAAAAGATACAATAACTTGTTAGATATTGTGCAAATTAGGATATTTTATAATTGGGATTTCGCATTTATTCAAAATACATTTTGGTAATCAAGCTTGTAGTACAAGGGTATGTACTGACTGATTGGTGGCTTCCTTAAATTCTTAGTAGTTTAATTGGGTTGACAAAATTACTTTGGGTGGAAACTATATATATGCAAATTAAGGCAGCTGTAATTATTGAATCATACCATGAGAATGAAGAATGGTTGAATGAGACACTATGTTGATGTACTGTCATATAGGTTTTATACCATGTTTCCGCTATTCCACAGTTGATTTCAAAGTTTGAAAGTCTATCAAGCAAATTATTATGATCAATTGAGTGAAATGCTTTCAAAAAACACTTTTAAATAATGGTCACCTTCATTTGCACATATATATATTTTTCCCCAAGGTTGCCTTTTGTCCAACCCAGCTAAATCACTTCATAAAACCCTTATGACAGTGAATACACATTCAAACATGACCGTGCTCTATTCGAATTTCTCAACCAATCAGAATGCAGCATAGCCAATATAGAACGTTCTCTAATTAAGGAATAAATAATGATAGGCCATTCAATATGGTGAAATTCAGCACGAGTTGGACAGAATGTCGTACAAAGCACGAACCGAAGGTGGGTGCATTTGTACTGACATTCTGTCCAACTCGTGCTGAATTTCACCATATTGAATGGCCTATCATTATTTATTCCGATTCAAACATATAAAAAATGAAAACATTGTTCAGAGAATTGGGGATTGGAGCTACATGAGATACACCAAACTCGAGCTCGCTGTTATTTTCGCCATTCACAGGTGTGACGTCACAATGCAAATACAATACGTAGATTCCCGGATGATTGGATAGAGCACGGTCGTGCATCTATGGAGAATTAGAGAACGTTCTATATTGGCTATGCTGCATTCTGATTGGTTGAGAAATTCGAATAGAGCACGGTCATGTTTGAATTCTCCATAGATGCACGACCATGCTCTATTCAATCTGCAATTTGCATTGTTTTGAGTGACGTCACATCTCAGCTGCACATCTGGGGCTCTGTCCGGGGATAGCTGTTCTTTTTTACTCCCTCCGTAACTACTGTAACTATTAAACTATGTTTGCATACACCGTATAAAATCTAAAACGGGGAGTAAAATAGAACAGCCCAAACAAATTCTAAAATTTTTCCGGTCGACTTCAGAATCTTGACAGCATGCGTATTCTTCCTTCATGCCCGTTCCACAGACTCGGCTTTTACTAATTTTTATGTTTGAATCGGAATAAATAATGATAGGCCATTCAATATGGTGAAATTCAGCACTCGTTGGACAGAATGTTAGTACAAATGCACTCACCTTCGGTTCGTGCTTTGTACAACATTCTGTCCAACTCGTGCTGAATTTCACCATATTGAATGGCCTATCATTATTTATTCCTTAAATAAAACATCGTGTTTTTACAAATTCAAAGGTTCACAAAATGATACATCGACTAACAATGTTTTACCTTAACCGAAGATGGCCGAATATTTAAAGGTGCAACAACTAGTACAATAACGATCATCGACCAGTGTCAAAATATATCAAAGTTTGGATATTTCATAACGATCATCGACCAGTGTCAAAATATATCAAAGTTTGGATATTTCATAACGATCATCGACCAGTGTCAAAATATATCAAAGTTTGGATATTTCATAACGATCATCGACCAGTGTCAAAATATATCAAAGTTTGGATATTTCATAACGATCATCGACCAGTGTCAAAATATATCAAAGTTTGGATATTTCATAACGATCATCGACCAGTGTCAAAATATATCAAAGTTTGGATATTTCATAACGATCATCGACCAGTGTCAAAATATATCAAAGTTTGGATATTTCATAACGATCATCGACCAGTGTCAAAATATATCAAAGTTTGGATATTTCATAACGATCATCGACCAGTGTCAAAATATATCAAAGTTTGGATATTTCATAACGATCATCGACCAGTGTCAAAATATATCTAAGTTTGGATATTTCATGAAGACTAACATATATTTTCATTATCTGCAAAGAAACCCCCTGGATGAACATTATTTCAGCTGATATTCCTTTTGAAACATGGTGGATCTTAAAAATCTGTAAGTGGGATTCCCTCTATAGAAGCTTTGAACTGAATTTACATTTCTCAATGCTTAAATTGATAGTTTATCCATATATTTTAAGAAAATAGGTGTGTCAAAGAAGATGTTAAGACAAATGTTGACCTGATAGCTTAAAAAAATAAAAATTTTCGAAATTTCTCTCTACAGTCCTCGTTGCCCCTTTAACACTAACCCTTCAAAGAATATGATTGGTTCCTCGAAGCACCTTCGGCCATCTTCGTGATCAATTTTCAATTTTCCGAATAAGTACGAGGGATGGGGTTTCCGTATTACAGGTATACACCAGTTAAGAATAAAATGTCTATTGCACGTTCACGTTGTTCACGTTCAAGTTATCCCAAATACGTGTAACTGATTCTCTATGATATACATGTAGCTTAAATTACTCGTTTTATGATCGCAGACATCATGACAATATTGGACCAATAAGTCCAAAACTCAAATTGCTTTATTTTGATACATAGATAATGGGGCCATGTGATCTAGGATTGGCTTTGGGTGGGTGCGGGGGGTTATGAAATACCCTGTATAGTGTAGTTAAATTGATTCAGATCGGAATATTCAAGAATTATTCCAAGGCATATCAGTTATCAATCCCTGCTTCCAAAAAGTCTCAGAAATTTTGAAGAAGGTTTGAATACAAGGATAGTTCAATAAATATTAATCTCTTATTGATTGATAATAATTAGCATTTCTATAAATATAAATTGAACAATTCTCGTACGTTTTTCCTTATTTTTCCAAGGTTTTGATCCAAGGAATGCTGCGGTTGACACCTTCTCCCATTACAGATGCTTTCAATTTCCTTATACATATGGCGGCCGGTTTATCGATTTCGTAATGAGTGATGTCGTCTGCAATGGTGACGAATACAATCTCGCTGACTGCTCGTTTAACCACGGTGACAACGTCTCGTGTCCTACTGAGAGAAGGGCAAGTGTAATATGTGAAAAAGTCCCTGTGCGACTTCAAATAGACCCAAATCAAAGAGGGCAAAATTCAGGACAAGTTCAGATCTTTGTTGATACTGAGTGGAGAAAGATATGTTTCTCTACATGGAATGTTAAAGGTGCTCAAGTTGTTTGTGAACAACTCGGACTAGCACATGGAAACGTATCAATATATAAAGGAAACGTTTCAAGATATGAAAATCATAAAGATTCTTGGGACCAGGCTTATTGGGAGATGATTGATGATGTACGATGTACTGGTAATGAGAGACACATTGGCCAATGCAACTTCAATTACAAAAATAATGATTTCTACAAAGATTCATGGTGCTTTAGTGAATGGCAACGAAAGACCTATTGGAAAAGATGCAGCGATGGTAACGTAGCTGGGGTAATATGTGGCTAAAGTAGAAGCAAGAAAACAAATTTATGAATTATTTTATATATTTGATCTTTTAACGTGCAAATAAATGCAAAATTTTCCAATGAAATGAAATCATAAACGTCTGAAATCATTGGTTCAGATTACTTTTGTAAAAAATTTCAGAAACGCTTGTTTAAAACCAATTGATTCTGCAATAAACCAACTGATGAGCTGAGTCAATTAAATCATCGGATTTTAAAGAGCACAATAACGCAGATGCAAGTAGGTAGTTACAAGTTACACCACCAGTTCGGGTCAGATAGCATAGCGGGTATAGTGGAAAGTTCCCTTAAACTTAAATTACACCTGTTTTACTGGTTCATTTTTCACATAACCACTATCTCTAATTGTTGTGCAAATTAAAATATGTCCAGTAAAAGAAAATGTTATCTGTGTTACGCGGTAAACGCGATACTAAAATATGTCATATTCCGCAACGAATATGGCCTATTTACTTGCGGTGTATGACAGAAATTCACCTGCGGTATATATGGCATTCCCACTAACCAATGAGAACGCGATACGGAAGTTCGCAATTGTCGATGCATCGATTGAACGAACGGACAAACATTAGAAATTACTATAATGGTTACTCGATCAGCAGGTCAGGGCATTGGATATTTCATGCCATTGAATAACATACTCCAGTGGTAGCTGCATTGTTTTATGTATGTGTTACACGCAAATACAGACTGCAGGGAAACATCATTATGCATAGATAAACGATCCTTACACGTCGCACGAAACAGGGGACAATTAGAGTAACATTATGGCGTCAAAATACAAAAACAATACAATGGGCAGTATAGGGCGCAATCAGCATTATAACGTCAAAAACGACAAGCGTTACATTTTGTCAAGTTTAGTCAACCTAAAAACAAGATGCTTTATTCTTATTCAATCCTGGTGAAATTCACAGAGCAAGAAGATCTCGAGGACAATATTTCTAAAATGTTTTTGATTTTTGAAAAACGGTCAGGAAATCCACTCGGGGCGTCAGTAAAAATTGATATGCATGTGATTTGTTGTAAAAATCGATGCGTTACATTTTTTCAAGTCTCTAAAAGCAACTCTTATTCTCTTATTATTTGAAAAATAAAGAAATCGGTTATTGTTTTGTAAATTTCGCCATGACAATATTGTGCAGTTAAAATTTTTATTAAATCAGACCTAAATTAGAAGGTTAAATAAAGGTAAACTTATTGCTTGTCTCCTTCGCCTTCAAAACCTTACACAATTTTGAAAATCTTAAAAGCGTTCATAAAAGACGATTTGAACTGTAGCCGCTAGGCAATTGTGACGTCATAAAAGCACATGTTTCAATGAATAAAATGTGAAATTTTAGTAAAATTCTGATCAGTATTTCAAAAGTTATTCCGATTTCAACGAACCGTGTAAGCGTGAAATGTTACGCCTTACAGCGTATCTGACGATGTCGGAGTACATTTAACTTTAAAAATATGGTAGATCCCATCATACTTTTCAAGGAAAAATAATTTCAGTGAAATGCGAATAAAAAATACTTCAAAATGATATATAATACACATAGTTAGCTTTTTAAATAAGGCAGATATTAACGCTTAAAGCTGAGATTAGCCCGTATTTCCCGAATTGTCCCCAGGTCCGTGCACGTCATACCTACGTTCGTTGAGCTTATCTTACCAAATCGACAGCGGTCAACAAAGACCAAATACATTGACCATACCATGCAAATATACCTCTAGTATCACTACGTCTCAACATTTCGTCTGAACACGGTCTAAAACCTCTCAAACCTTCTAGAAAGCAACTTATCACAAAAACCATCATACTTTCTACAACTGTAACCCTATCATCTTGGAATATTGATAATAATAACAATACAATTTTTATATATCAACCAGACACTCCAGTTTCCCAAATTAATGAAAGAATTCCGAGAAATTAATTTTTCTTTGAAATTATACGACGTTAAGGAAATTACGACGTTCACTGCTTTCATAGCAGCTGAGCTCATGTAATGCAAAGAATTACTCTTGGGTCAAGGATGTCTTCACCATGACATTGTTACTTCTCCCCAAAGTCAATCGGGTTACCAACCCCCAAAACCTAACCACGTCGGAAAAGAAAGTATTCTCAGTCACCATATGTATCAAATAAGTCTGTTGAGTTGAAGTCGCCACTTTCAAAGTTTTTCAAAAGACAACTGTTTCAGGAAACACGTAGGTAAATCCGGGAGTACCATGAACTTCCTAACGAGCATTTGGTTGTCCATATTGATTGTTCAATGTATACAAGTCATGTCATACAATGTCAACGTATTGTTTCCACGTCCACGCCAACCTAATTAAAAAGTATTTTGGACTGGTAAACATGTCTCTCTTGCCTTGCCTGATTCAAGTAGTTACTTTTCGCTTAATTTATGCCAAATTTGCATAAATTTTGCCAAATTTTATTTATTTAAATGTTGCCAAATTTGCTTAAAGCTGGTCAAATTTGCTTAAATGTGGTCAAATATTCCAAATGTTGACCAGTTTTGCTCATTTGGAACATTTAAGGGAATACTGATAAGTGTTCCATTGTTGAAACATCTTCTTCATAATCAATGCACTCATGAGATCTCCAGCCAGTTTATAGTAATATATTATTATTGTGAGTGATCTTTATACTTGCTATCTGTTCTAATAATTACAGCATGAAAAGGTATGAACATTTTTAATAAGAGTTTTTTCTGGCGTTCAGAATTTTAGTGCATCACGGGTATTGCATCGCCGGCATTGCACCACCGGGCTTTTACCAAAATTCTCTTCGGGGAGAAGTAAAGCCTCTCTATTTTATTATTTTTGCTCCGAGGGACAATTTTAGCTTCCATGGCCTGGAAACTCTAATACTGACCCAACTAAAAGAAAATAAATTTATATTATCATGAACTCACGTGTTTAGTGAGGTAAGATCAAGATAATATATGAGTAAACTTCCGGTGTTACGACGTATAAGAGAATGGGGTGTGGCAATAAAACAAGCCAATAAAACACAATCATATTGTAAATTGTGTGAACAGTATATCACTCTGCTATACATAACCCCTAGAAATGCATAAGATACTCTGTTTGTCTAATTGTAATGTAAAGTATATTTTTAAAAGTACCTTATTAATATCTTACAGTTTAGTTTAGTTTAGTTTAAGTTTAATAATAGTTTATTTCTGTGTCACAGGTTTAATCAAATATTACAAAGTAAAATACGTGTGTTAAAAAACCCAACAGCCGACATTGGCTTACGAGACACCATATATTAAAATATACAAAGTTAATCAACAGTCATCCAATAAACCATTCATAAGCAGCAGACACATAAAAACACATGACATAACCATTACTGATAAGCCAAATGTGTTGCTCATGAACACCAAATGCAAGGTATAGAAAAATGATACATTTATTTGAGTTGGTTTCGTTCTGAGATAGCATCAGCAGGTGATGTTTTCATATTTCATAGTTCATCCTTTATAAATACATTAGGGCTATTATATGTATATTTTATATATATTTTTATTTATATTATACAGACTTTGTATATTCACCATGGATATATATCTATATTTTCCTTGTCTTTTTAAACCAAACATAACTGTATTTTCTATGTCTATGTCTTCGTTGGCATTTTCGTTAGTACTTTATGAACAATTTGCATCAATTATGTTTATAGACTTTCACATCACGATGCAAATAATGAAGTATGAAACTACGCGAGCGATTGTCTTGGTTTTGGTCATGCTCATTGGAGCCAAAATTGGTATGATATATAACAGTTCTTCATTTTAAAAGATTTGTAACTCGTTATTGTGGTTGATCTCAATCTCTTTATGGCATAATACAAGAAGAATAAATGTCCATAGATATGCATTCAAGAGAGTTCATTGCCAATTTACCACCCAAAGTGAATTAAAATTACATACGTGTGTTAGCATAATAATGTGTCCATCCTAACATTCAACATATATCGGGTGTCCCGAAAAGCGAGTCGCTTTTTGACAAGTATTTTCTCCGCAATAGATTAAAAGAATTCATTGAAAATTTATATTAAGCAGCCTAGAGTATCATAAGCAAGTGATACAAATATGAAGGAGATAAGTTATAAATGACATGAGTAATGACAAATTCAAATTAAAGATACATGTCAAAAATTCAATATCAGAGCTGAGCAATGAGACCTTCAGTCTGGAAATTTCAGTTTGGAAGTAGGCCTATTAATGATGCCTTTGAGTGAAAGCGAGAAGGCCACTGTATGGTGAGGTGAAAGGATGGGAGGAAGATGAATCATTAATGAACTAATGGCAAGAGTTAAGAGTTATGTAACTGTAAATAGACTTTACAAAAATGCACTACATCCAACATACATTAAAAGAAGGGATGAATATGTGGTGTGGGCCATATCATAAGAAGACATATACAGGGCGTATCAAAAAAACGCAACAAGTAGTTATCTCGTAAAATCACAAAACAAGTGATGACTACATCAATTTCATCCAATATACCATAAAGCCACGTCTCTCCTCTTTGCAATGATATGTCATTCATTCACATGTGGTAATGGTTCGTTGAGATATCCTTCCATTTGCACAGTGGGTCAAAATCTGCTCTGAACCAAGTTTTAGATATTACAAAAATCAGTGCAGGGGCTAAGTACCAATGGAAGTTCCCCTGACTTGAATTGTTGTGACTTTTTCTTTTGGAGCTATGTCAGGAGCATATGTGCTCACAATTACTCCACCAGATATTGCAAAACCTCGAGAAAGAATTGCCCATGGGCTGCTTTTCTCTGCTTTAACCCACAGATGACTCAGGGCTGAACCATGCAAGACATATGGACAGATGAGCGTATCTTTATGTGCAAGGAAGTGGTGGCAATTTGGAGGGGTATATGGTGTATTCTTGCAAGAGCATGAGTATGAACACTTTACTGTCTATGCCACGCCTGTCGCACCTTCTTCCAATAGCCCCTATGCCCCATTGTACTGACCTTTGCAATGTTTAAAAGTTGGGTCCGAGCTGAATTTTGCCCCACTTTGCAAAATTAATGATTATTCGGCCAGCCATGACTCCCTGTGAATGAATGATATTCCATAGCAAAGAGGAGTAATTTGGCTTTTTGTTTCATTGAACGAAAAGGATGCAGTCAGCATTGGTTTTATGTTTTCTTCCGATATTGCATTGGACTCCGTACACTGACTTTTGCGATGTTTATAACTTGGTCCCAAGCTAATTTTGGCCCACTTTGCAAATGGAATGATTACTCGCCCAACCATGACCAAATATCAATGAATGATATATCATTGTAAAGAGGAGACACATGGCTTTATGGTGCATTGAATGAAATCAATGCTGGTTTTGTGCTTTTCTGAGATAACAATCTGTTGCGTTTTTTCGATACGCACTGTATAAAAGCATTTCTATTTAGAAACAGCAGCTTCTTCCATATTGTAATAGCCAATCTCCAACAGTACCGTACGGTACCTTTTTTGAAATGGTGCTGTACGGTACCGTGAATATGGTACAGTACGGTACCGTGGACTAAAACAGTACCGAACAGGACCATGAACACTGTACGGCACTATACTCCAACGGTACCGTATGGTACCATACTCTTAATGTACCGTAAGGTACCGTGATTTTAAAGTGCGGATTGGAGGTGTAAGTGACCTTTCCGTTGATAATGGATAGTCTGGCGTGCTGTTTCTAATTTAGCAATTCTCATATAATGTACACTGATCTTTTTATAGCACTTGCTAATAATACCCTCTAACTTATCAGTAGAATTTTTAAGAATTTGGCTTATCTATTGCTGAAAAAGGACATGTCAAAAAGCGGCTCAATTTATTATTGACATCCCAGGCCCTTGGGTAGCTTTTGCCAAGGGGGAGGTCACTTATAGAGGTTTCGCTCAACCCCCCCCCTGAATCCCTCCTCCCTTGACCGCCCCCCCCCCCTCCCTAGCTACGGGCCTGGACCCGATACTCTAATGTGCCTTAACTATATCGAAGATCTTGCATATTTTAGCATTTGGTGAGACAACAGGAAACCAGATGGTGTGTACGAAAAATGACATCATTAAGGTGTCTGACCAACTAAGTGAAATGAAAGAGGAGATGGATGAAATAAAGGAAACTATAAATGATATAAAAGCAATGCTGGAATGCAAGAAGTCAATTCAGGGTATGAGGGTTTACTAAAATACTAAAATATTTTAAAGGAAACTAATAAAGATGAAAATATAAAATGCATTGAAATTATATCATAGCTGAGAATGATCAGAAGCTTTGATGATTTCAAAAACAAAACACATTTTTTTAAATGATCAAATGCATTATTTTCTCCGAATATAAATCTAAAAGTTTTAAAGGGATCAAAATGAGTTTTTTGTTTTTAAAAACTCAGTAGGTAGAGAAGAAGCACATTTTTATTAACAATTAGATGCCTTTATTATACAGTCTCACAATATATCTCTTGTAAAACTTTACAACAACATTTAAACAAGAGAGATAGTTGGCAAACCAAAGAAGTTTGAAGAAGTAATACACACATATGAATAAATATCACTAAACTACAGATATAGTTGTCTGCAGAGAAAACAAACTGATATCTGGAGATGTTTACTATGTTGCTGACGCTGGGTTAACTGCATCAAGCACTTGGGCAAGTGATAATGGCGCAAAGAGATCTAGATTAGACACACAAGCAGAGTATGTTTGCTACTTTTAATCTTATTCTATCGTGTAATACGAAATGACAGAAAATGAATTGGCATTAATTATATTTCAAGGGTACTTTTTGCAAATTTTTTTGGCGTCTCCGTTATTTTTCAGCTTGAGCCACAGATATAAGACACTTTTTGTCGTAATTGGGGGTAGAGGGGTAAAGTTATGAGAGTTCGAACTTGATGTTAATAAAATTGAAATTCATAAAATATTGATTGTCACCTTGTTTCTGATTATCTAGGAAATACAAAAATGATAATTGATCTGCTTGATAATGATTTAGCATAATGAATTCTGTTTCCAATATGCTTTATTTCATGAAAATTGAGCCACTTTAGTTTCATCTGAAAGATAATATATCATTCTGTAAGACAGCGAAGCATTTTTGGTACCAAAAATATTTTGAGAAGGAAAATTGACACAAGATGTCAAAAATGTACAACCCCTAGATCAAAACAAATGTTGCTGCAAACACTGCACATTGATAAAATGAACTTTTGGAATTGTTGATGGTTCACTACCATAAAGTGCGGCCTTCATATGGTAAGATGGCATAATTAAATTGAGAAAAAATGGTTTGAGTACAACTTTAAGTTCGAATCAATTGGTATCCAATGTCCCTCATTTTGCCAAGTTTTAACCTTATTGCATTTCACACCAAAATGATGCAATATGTAAATATAGGATCCTCATTTCTCATCGAGTACCTGTCACTGAACGCTCAGTGCCTCACCCTCGTGATTTTAGGACTTCCAGGACTCTCTAAAATAGTTGAACTATGTATTCATAATTGTTGCCCAATATACATATTGTATTGTATTGTACGCCAATATTAATATGGTTCGTCAACGTAACAACAGCTCCGAGTCACACGTTCGCCAACGTAACATTGATCTTACGCCAACGTAACAAAAGCGAGGAACTAAACATAGAACAGCCTGCATATTCTCAAACTAGACCATCTTCTTTAACTTTGAGCCAAATTATTGTCCACAACTTGACTTATAAATGGTGTAAAATCGAGAAATAAAAATATCTTACCAAAAACGAAGCCCGGGAGTTCTTCCATCTTGTTACGCTGACGTATTGTCAGCGTAACTAGGTGAGTACCAGTGTATTTGCTGGCCTTCATAAGTTATGTAATTATTCCAGTACAAGTGGTGTGGGAGCCTGGTCTGCACGTACGAGTGATAGAGAGCAATGGATACAAGCAGACCTTGGTAGAGTCATGATAGTGACAGGGGTGATCACTCAAGGAAGAAATGGCAATGCCCAATGGGTTAAATCATACAAATTCAGCTATGGTGAAACTGAGACCGATTTGAAAGAGTATGGAATGGTATATAATATTTTACATTTCAAGTCCCATGCATAGCCTCCAACACTATTTGTTTTATCCCACGATTACTGTGGAGTTGTGGTATCTGTGCAAGTGATATTTTTGATATTACGGAGATCAGTATGAGTATGATATTTTTCAGAAAATCGTTTATCAGTCGCATATCTGTATGATAAATGATTTTTGGGGGATTTTTGATTTTAACCCATGGGATGTAGATCAAAATTATATCACTAAAAATTATCTGATATTTTGTATTTATTACCCTTTATGTTGAGCACTATATACACATACAAACCAGTTGAATTCCCTAATCGGAATCAATGTCCAAAGATTTGTCTAAAATAGTTACCATTATACTTTCCAGCTCACGAATGGAGGGGGTGTATAGGGGGTCTTGGAAATCCATATACAATATATTTCAGCTCTCTTATACCTTATACAATATTTGTTCACCCCTTTTATATCATAAACAATATTTTTCACAGCTCTTATACCATTTACAATATTCTACAAAAGTTTAGGTGAATACAATATACGATAATTTTGAAACTGCTGTTGATCGAATATTTGATATTTATAAGGAAGAAATATTAGGAGAGAATCCATGTACTACAGTAAATGTATTATTATAAGGCAATTAGACTCCACATACTTATCACAACCATTCAGGTACATCCGCATGACTTGTTCAGAAATTCTGTGACCACTTTTTATTTTCAGGTAAACAAGTTGATTTAAAACATATTAATGGTTTAAGATTCTTGACTTCTCTTTAGTGATTGCACAATCTACTTTGAACCAAAACATTAACTTAACATTTCTGCAATTGGCTAAAGCCAGTATCTATAAAAGTGCCATAAAGATATTCAAAATTAGCACTTAAATCGCATCATTGGAATGGGTAGATCTCAGTGTACCTCTTTCTTATGACCTACTTTACCGTGACTTATTTTAATGTCAATGGAATCCTTCATAGGGAGTCAGGGAATTTCTTGAAACATAATTGATGCAAAATTGAGCATGTGGAATAAAAGATTCATCATGTGTTCTCTGAAAATAAAGTTTGCTGAGGTAAATATGTACATTATATAGCATTATCAGGAAGATAGTGAAGATTCACAATGCAAAAGAATTAAGACAGTCACCTGGGAAATATTAAGTATTGAAAACAGTTTCGGAAACAATTATTAAAGTACTTCATAAAATTTCATGTAGATAATTCATTTTTGATTGGACTCGAGTCTGGACTAGAGTTTGAAATAAAGGCAAGATGAGACTTGATTGTTTGATCATTTGAAACAGAGACACTTCGGGGTTTCAGATAAGGCGGCCTTAAATACAACTATAAGTCAAACAAAAGTTTCTCAAAATTAAGCAAATTTCCATAAAGGTCAAACCACTTGTTTCAAGAATGATTTCAATGTAAAGATGTGTTGATGAGAATGAAGACTCTATGTAACTCGAAATAATGTTCTTTTAAAGGACCACGGACGGTATTGCAACATATTTTAGTCATATGTTGGATTTTGGCTATTTTCTGAGGATTTTAACAGATGCATGTGTTAGGCCATCATTAACTCCAGGACAAGCAGCCAAAGAGATGATAAAATAATTTGGACTTTAAGACAGGGAGGGTGCAAACACTCAATCAACATGTTTTTCTGTAAAGTTGTCCTGATTTCCAGTCCTTTAAATATCTGTTTTTTCAATATTTGTTGCATTAACATGTTGTGTTTTGAGACACGGTCAACATCTCTAAAGGAAAATATGGTTCACGCTGGGGTTTGAAAGATATCAATTCTGGGTGACTAAAATTAAGCTGAAAACAATATATCATATGAGTTTTCCATATGTGAAAATAACATAAGGAATATTGTTTTCCACTTTATCCAAATGGATCATATTTCCTTTAAAAAGGTTAGCTATGTCTACAAATGCGACATATTGATGCACTAACCATTAAAAAAACATGTGTGAAAAGGGCAACATTTCAGAATAACATTCATGGGGTGTTTGTACCTTCCCTGTCTCAAAGTCCAAATCATTTTATCACCTCTGTGAGTGCTTAATTTGGAGTTAATGAATTGGCCTAACATATGCACCTGTTCAAATCCCCAATCAATAGCCGAAATCCAACATGACAGTTTGAAATCAGTTGTGATACCTTCCGTGGTCCTTTCTTAGATTAGTTTTAAGACCACATGCCACCTTTTGCAATAAAGAGGTTATTTAATGGGAGGTTTTTGATTCAGGCTATATCTGATGGAAATACAATTTATCTACCCGAGGGGCCGAGGGTTGATATATTCTATTTACCGAGGGATATACCCTTTATCAAAAATCAAACATTCAATAACTGATTTATCCTATACTTAGTAGATTATGAGAATTAAATATGCATTGAATGTTAGGGAACCCTAACGTAGTAATTACAAATGATAATTACAATCAAAACATGAATATTTATCTCAATTTAAAGTCCTCAACAATTTTTGTTTTTTAAAACTCAACAGGTTTTAACATTTAACAATGTATGAAATTAATGCTTATAAAATAGAGCCAAAGTATATTCCGGGAATTCAAAAAAGCACCAAAAGAAATTCCCGGGGATTGCTGATGAGCAGGAGATATCTCCTGCTCACCTCAGCGGGAGATATATGTATCACCCGCTCACCTCAGATATCGCTTATATCCCCGCATGTTATTTACCTATAACACTTACTTAGTATGGGATAAATAAGAATATCTAATGATGCTTGAATTAAAACAAGTACATACGCTGTATGAACACTTTATACTCAAATATTTTAATGATTTATCCCACATACCCCGAAACACAAGTAGCTATAGTGACCATATTTTTCTTCAAAATTGAGAAGAGTCAATGACATTTGGCATTCTTATTCGACACTATATTTAACACCTCCTGTGAGAATTTGAATGAAAATGGCAAAAACCGTTGAGAGTAATTTTCTCAAAACTTATTGATCGACCTGGAATGTGGAACCAATTAGAGAGACTACTCTTCCATGTTTTCCAACACGATTACAGTAAAAGAGTCAGCACAATTGAGATTTTCAGGGCACAATTTCTTCAAAATTAGCCTTCCAAGTTCCCTAATTCTTTTTAAACATATAATTAACCTTCTGGTGCCTTGAGATACCATATACCGTATATTTTCTCTTATACCATGTACCATGTTTTTACACATCTTATACCATATACGATAAAAGTTGCCCCCTCTTATACAATAAATTTTCACCCTCTTATACAACATACAATATCCCTATACACCCCCCCCCCCCTACGAATAAGCATTCCAATTGTGTTTTATTAGCTAATAAATTTTCTTAGATTCTACCAGGGAATGTGGACCAGAACACCAAAGTGACCAACATGATTGAGCGACCTGTCTTAGCCAGATTTGTTCGCATAAATCCTCAAACTTGGCATGTGCATATATCTCTGAGGTTTGATGTTATTGGATGCCCCTCGTAAAGGTACGAATATCACGTGCCCTATATTGTATCATGAAGTCGGAATATAATACAAATATTTTATTCTATTTTCGGTCAATACCTGTGTGCATCCCCTCGAATGACCATCTTAAGGTCAAAACAGTTCAAAAAGGTGTTTTTTAACCTGCTTCAAATTACCATTTTTTAAAAATCATCAAGTTCTCAGAATTTCAAATCTGTTATTAGATTTTGAGATGTGACCATATCAATGACCTTCTCAAGGTATTTTTTAAACTGGCTTCAAATTGACCAGATTATTTCTTCAAAACTATTTATTTGTAGTTCTCAGAAGTTGAAATCTGACTTTTGAGATTTGACCTTCAACGACCTTCGAAAGGTGGCGACATTTCGTCATGTTAATGGCTTGTTTTATTTTGTAGTTGTATATTTTTCAGATTGAATACAGAAGAAGAGAAGCCCCGGGAAAACAGACTAAGAACAATTATGAAGAAATGACTGTTGCCCATTTTGAACCCTGTATTCAGCATGTTCAAAATTGTTTTTGTTTTCAAATAAGTTCAAATCGAATGATTTCAAATTGTACTCATGCAAAAGCAAACATGATGTAGAATCATACATGTAACTTTGTGATTTGTTGATGTTACTGTTGCCATAACAACGATGTTTAATTGAAAGTCTGATAGGCCACAAGGAGGATTGGCTCCCAGAATGCAACACCGATATTCTGCAAAACAATCACCTAGCGATAGCTTTGTTGGAGAGTATCGAGTCATTCTCCATGCAGTCGTACAAATTATACAGACACGAATAGCAAATGACGCATGCGTGGAGATTAAAGAATATCGAGTTGGAACCCTGGCTTCCAATCCTCCTTGGATAGGCCACAAAAAGATTCCCATACAGAGGTGTGACTAGGAACTAAAAATAGGCAATGAAAATATAAATAGACACGACAAATGTGTTAACGGCTGCGGGCTATATAATAGAGTAACCATCATTAGACTTTTTTTCATTTTTTTTAAATTCACGCACAGCCGCACATAGCTAGGCAAGGTGTGTCCAATTCAAGCCAATCAGAACACGCTATTTCACGTAACTGCATTCCATAACCTATCACTGCATGCAAGGTCACCGTTCCTTTTTTGTTTTAGATTCTAGTTAACTAATGAAACCGGTAAACTGAGTGTGACACAAAAAATGACACCCACCGACCCACAACATTTTTGTTTGCACAGATTCTGACTTGCTATTTACTACTTACATTACAAGTAGGCTCTGTAGTCCATTTGTCACCCCTATACATACTATAGTGAACCTATGAATTGTTAAAAACACGATGTTTTATGGTTAATTTATAATGACAAGGGTTTTCTGAAGTGATTTAACTGGGTTGGACAAAAAGTTAGTTTGGGGAAAAAAGCGTATCGGCTAATTAGGGAGGGGTGCATTGGCTTAACATGGCGTTGACTATTGACTTAGCGTCGGGAAACCAACATGTACCTGGTATGTTACCATGGTGAAAGATACAAAAAAATTCCCCAACGTTAATTTTTTGGCAACCCAGCTAAATCACTCCAACAAACCCTAATGATAGTATCTGCACAGAAAAACATCATGTTTTTAAATATTCATACGTTAAGGAAATGACAAATGGACTACTGTGGTGAAACTTCACAAAAAGTTTCAGATGACTAGCTCAACTAGAGGCACTTTTATAAGTGTTACAAGATGGTCGTCGATTCCTTTGCAGGCACACTTAGATATTTCACAAACAAATTGCCTGACCCACCTTTTGTAACATAATTTTATCAATGAACTATTACCATTTTGTGTTTAATCGAATGGACATCCTTTTCATGAAGTTACAAGCAAAAATTATAAGTTATCGTGAAGTTATGTTTCAAAGGTAGTCGGCATTTTGTGTAGAATGCAAGTGTGTCTGCAAAGGAATGGACGACATTTAGAGCAAATTTTGTAACGCTCATAAAAGTGCATCTAGTAGAGCAGGTCATCTAAACTTGTCGAGTCTAGTGGAGTCTAGTTTTAATGTACCGAAGAACAATTCAGATAGCATGCAGACAAAAAAGTTAAAAACATTAAATAGGTATTTAATGTGGAATTTCTGTGACGCAGAAAATTGAAAATTATTTTAACATTTCTTTCAAAAGTGACTCACCCGTGTTCGACTCTCTTTCGACATATAAGGATCTTTCGGACAGCATTGAGAGATGATAAGCGACATATTGGACGATGCAGCTTTAATTACAAAAGTAATGATTTCTATAAAGATTCTACTTATGTACAACAGAAGGGGGGGGGGGGAAGCCAGCAAATGTCAAGGCGGTTTGCATTACTGCAACCCCTCCCCCCCCCTTCCCCAGTTACGGCCATGTAGAAATATACATGAAGATGACAAAGGAACACCCAAGAAGCTTTAGAGCAAAATTTCTTCTTGAATTCAATTGATCTGGCCTGGCCGTGAGCCGACCCACTCCGTGCATGAACGCTTACAATCAGTATACCTATTAAAACCTATTTATAGGATAAATATTCATTTCAAATAAACACCCATGGGCGTTTCCACGATTTGTTTTAACGACTCGGCAAAAACAAGATGGTTCCTGGCTTTCCCTGACTGTAACTGCCCTGTTAAAATTATAATGTTACTCACTTGTATGTAACCGTTCATATTCAATAATAAGCAAACAGAACATCATGTCATATTTTGTTATAAAATTTTTATTGCAAAACATGGACTTAAACTGCAAATCAAGTTGGACAATATTACACTAACCATGTATCACTTTAAAGTAAAGTGATTATTTCCAAACAATACTGTTTCCTAGGCATACTTATAGCCAATTCGGCCCTGAATGTGGATATTGAATATTTGATGGAGATAATACATGATGCATGACTATTGCAACACTAGCTAAATCCAGTTCTACATTAATAAGGTTAACATGGTGGATCTGGCGGGGTTTCTTCAAAGATTGGCCTCCAATTTTCACACAAAAATGCCCAAAATATTGTAAATACATAATTTCATGATCCACCCCTTGTTTAACAAAATCTGTAATTCACTACAGAGAATTTAAATAAGAGCAGCACCAAAACAATTAAAACATCAATGAGGCCATATTTAAAATGCAAAATAGACTGGATGAGGGCGGGAAAAGCAAGGAATAGAGTACTCAGGCACGTAGTATGCTTGCTTAATTGTATAGATATGCCAGAGAAGTTTGACATCTCATTCAAATTTATCTGAGAAACAAGTGGAAAACACATTTTCGCATTTTCTGAGAAAATTGAGAGGAAAACATGAATAGAATGACATTTCATAAAGCAATGTCGAGGAACAGCTAAAATAACAACTTTTTTTACATTATTTCAATTCAGGTATATCCATTAATGCACTTCATTTATAGCTCTAACACGTCTAAACAGGATTTATCAAGAGGTTAACAAAGAATACATACTAGCATACGACTATTGCTCAACTATTCATTCCAAGATAAAACTATTGCTCAAAACTGGTAACTTTGTGATAACATATCGTAAGTTTGAAAAAACTATTAAAGCCTACATTATTTGAGATGTAAAGTACACCTTATTAACTGAAAACCTGAATTTTACTTTTAACCTCAACCTAACTACATACAGACATAGGAGTCTCCCAGAGGTGAACAATTTCCACCATTCACCCAGGGAGAGGTCAATATCCTTTTTAACCAATCTATTAAATATCCAAAAATTATATAATTTAACATGGTTACAGATTTACAATTCAAAGAACACTATAATATTTGAATATAATGATACAATTACATGTACAGCAATATCATGAATATACAAAATCAGAATGCTATATTTGGTGTGAGTCCAGGTGAGTAGGCCTTATTTGGTGTGAGTCGAGATGAGTATACCATTAATATTACCAATATTATAAACAACCCATATTTTGAAACAACCCTTTTTTCTAAACATCCCATATTGAATTCATAATAAGTTTATAGTTCTTTTTAACCAATCTATTAAATATCAAAAAATTATATAATTTAACATGAATACAGATTTACAATTCAAAGAACACTATAGTATTTGAATATAATGATACAATTACATGAACAGCAATATCATGAATATACAAAATCAGAATGCCATATTTGGTGTGAGTCCAGGTGAGTAGGCCTTATTTGGCGTGAGTCGAGATGAGTATACCGTTAATATTACCAATATTATAAACAACCCATATTTGAAACAACCCATATTTCTAAACATCCAATATTGAATTCATAGTTCTTCAAAGTAATTATTTTACAACTGCTTACAAAACACTGTATAATTATTGACTAAAAATCTGGTTTTATTTAAATTGTAAGTTAACTTTTCAGCTTTAGAATGCAAAGGGGCTTTCAAATGCAGTACTGTTTCCCTACTTAATTTGGTGGCTGTTTTAATATGGCGATATGCAGAAATTTGCCAATTCATGTATTTGTAATTTTTTCAGAAAAATCTAGTTAGAAATGCTGTAACTGTTAATATAACTAAGTGTTTTGTATGATGCACTTCAAAATTCATGAGTATTCATTTGTGGCAATGTTGTCTTAGTAACATGCTCACTTATGTCAAATTTACTAAATTAAATCTTCGCCAATTTTTTCGTTTTGCTTATTAAAAAGCATCAAATTAAGTAGAGGAACAGTATGTCTATTTTTTACATGTCTCCCATTTCTTAAGTACATGTATGTCTCGTTAATCTATCGCAGGGTATAGAGACATGTTACAGAATCCCTTTTAAATATTTCTATAATTTTTCAGCCCAAACACGTATTGTCCAAACCATTTATTTTTTCCCATAATGCATTTTTGGTGCGTCCTCCAATCACTGACTTCCAATATCAGATATGCTTGAAACGACAGACATAGTTTGACATAGACATAGTTTTAAACGTGGCAGAAGGTCCTATCAGTTGCACCAATTTTTATTTACGCACTTTTTTAACCAGCGTAAATGCAATGTAACTGTGCTGCCATCTTTATATAGTTATCACTCCTTCATAAAGTCACATTGAGAAAAACGTCACAGTGGTCATGACTTAAAATGCAAAATAGAGTGCAAAAGAGTGGAATTAGCAAGGAATTGAGTATATAGATGTGTATTGAACACTTTGGATTAATAGAAATGCAAGGAAATGATCAGATTCATTCAAATTTTAGAGAAATTGCAATGCAATCTGCGTGACAAAATGGACATTGATAACAAATTAGCAACAATTCATATAGCACTATACTCTAAATTGTGTAGAAAGAAATACAAGAAAACCAGAAACTTAATTCAAATTTTGGAGAGAAATGAATTAAATCAGAATGGACAGAAGATATTATGTGTGGATTAATGATGACCAAAGTGAGATTTTAACCATTGACTTTGTACGGTGTAGTGGAGATACTAGTACATCAATAGATTAAGTTAAGCAGAATCGTGAATGGACAATCGGAACATGTCGTGAAACAGGAAGTAAGAGTCTGGTAGTTTCTTAATATAGAACACTTGAGAGTAGGCGTGAGGAGGGTCATCGTCAGTCTGAAAAAGAGCAATTTTTCAATTACAGGGTGATCCCAAAAAACAGGACACAAACATCTTTGAATTAAGGGTTGGAGTTCTGCTTTTTTGGGATACCTTGTAAACTTAATTTAAGTATATTATAAGGTTGCATATCTGAAAATTCACAAAAAGGGACAAGTCCGTTAAATGTTCATTTTCATAAAATTGGGATAATTTTGCTTTTAAACTTAGTTATTGTCTTCCTGCCCTGAATTAAAGCATGCCTCATAACAATAGCTTAAGATATTATTGTCACTCTTAAAATCTGAAAAAGTGCTTTTGACGCAAACAGATACTTTCCATTAAAGAACTTAAATATCTTCTCATCCAGGAAGAGTTGTAGTTTAAACAATCAATGGACCTACACATGAAACTTTTTTCTTTAATTATCTGAGCCTCGAAAAAAGGTTTCTGTAGAAAGAGAAATAATTGGCTTACAAATCCAAAAAGGTGCAAATAATGTTTATTTAATTCAGAACATGTCAAACTGCTAATGAGGTAAAGAATTTTTCTCAAGCTTTGTTACAGGGTGACCCAAAAAAATGCAACCGTTTTCCTTGAACATTGCAAGTTTGTTTTCAGCGAAATTGACGACATCTGGAGCATATTTTGAAACGACCATAACTTCATCAATATAAGACTATGATTATTAAAACTTTTCCAGAGGATCCCACATTGAATGAAGTCCTTGTGTGCCAAATCTCAGAGCAATTTACCTCCATTTAAGAAAAATATTGAAGAAATGGAGGGTTGCATTTTTTTGGGTCACCCTGTATTTCAGAAAAAATAAGTTTTTACCAAGTCTAATGATTGTGTGATTTATACGTTCTGAATTTCAGATTCAAACATTTTTTTTTTTTTAGGTTATTGTTATTTATTTCTATATAATTCAACATAATTATTTACATAGATTGTGAGGGGCCGAGGCTATATAGCATTATTGGCCCCCCTCTAGAAAGTTAAAAACATATAATAAATCACTGGAGTGTGTAGGATTGCAACGGACAGCAGACGGTCGTCCACCAGGTCTTGCCCATGATGATGTATATGAGTGTTAATGAGAGATGATGTGAAATGAGGAGGATGGTTATTCTAAGATGTTATCGATATCTTTTGGTTACTTATAATGGGCATTACAGCTATTGCCCCTTTAATTTATACACTGTAATTTATTGAAGATTATAGGGAGAAATGGCAGAGAGTTTAATTATCCATTAGGATTTTAAGCTACAATAAATCAGTTTATTTTTATGAATATTTAGAATGTTTCAAATATTTTGATAAAAATCACAAAAACATTGGAATCCTTATTCAAATAATAATCATTTGAAGAGATCTACACTTTTTAGTGTTTTTAAAAGCTCGTTGTAAGAGTAAATATTGGATGCTTATTTAAGACCATTCTAACGATAAGGAAAACCTCATCAGAATTTCATGGGGTAGGTTACTTAATCCAACAAATTTCTCACAACACAACCCCAAAAAATTCTAAAAATGGTGACCCTAGGTCACCACTGAAATGTAAAAAAGTAAGTTTTTTCGGAAAGTGTAAATGAGAACATTTTTGTTACGGAATAAAAAATACCTTTAATCGCCCAGTCACTAAGACTAGTACTCCCCCTTCCACAGTTGGTTGACAGTCTATCTTTGTAACTACATGTTGTATAGCTTTAAACGTCAGACTCTGGAAAATAAAATAGTTAATTAGTTTTATTATTATTTACAATGGTAGGTTACTAAATACAATTCAAAAGATAATAAAAATATATCCCAGCTTACTTTGGCACTTGGGCTTATCAGCCACTTTGAGATAAATAAACTACACAAACTAAAAAATAGCAACTCCACGGAGTAGGAAATCCCACTGAACAAAACGTGTTTTGATAAATAGCGGCCACATCAAATTTGAGCCAAATCCATCAACTGGTGTTTGAATTATCAAAGATTATGTTTTTATGAAACATGGTTGCCATTTTGAAATTCAGCTGTCATCTTTAGATTTCTTCGTTAGCAGAGCTCCTTTGTCCCAAGGCATCAGCATATGCAATTTAATCCAAATCCATCAACTGGTACTTGAGTTATCAAGGATTACATGTTTAATGAAAAATGGCGGAGATTTTGAGAAATAGCAGCCACCTTGAAAATTTCTAAAAATCTGAAGTAAATCCATCCAATGGTATCTGAGTTATCAATGATTACCTTTTTTTATGAAAAATGGCAGCCATTTTAAATTCAGCTGACACCTTTGAAATTTCTTCTGAAGAAGATCTCCTTTTATCCTAAACATCAGCATATGAAATTGGAACCAAATCCATCCACTGGTATTTGAGTTATCAATGATTACGTTTTTTTTACAAAAATGGCGGCCATTCAAATGGCGGAAATTCAGTGGCCATCTTGAGGCATCAGCATATAGAATTTGAATCAAATCCGTCAGCAGTTATTTGAGTTATCAAAGGTTATGGTCTGATGGCCATTTTGAAATTTAGCTGCCATCTTGAAAATCAATTCTCGAGCAGAGTTCCTATGTCCCCTAGGCATCAGCATGTAAAATTTGAACCCAATCCATTCAATGGTATTTGAGTTATCAAAGATAACATATTTTTACAAAAAATGGCCACCATTTTGAAATATGGTGGCCATCTTGAAAATGTCTTCTTGAGCAAGGCTCCTTTGTACCCAGGCAACAGCATACAAAATTTGAACCAAATCCATCCATTAGTATTTGAGTTATCAAAGATTATATTTTTCTGAAAAATGGCCGCCATTTTGAATTAAGCGGCCATATTGAAATTTCCTTCGTGAACAGAGGTCCTACACCCATAAGGCATAAGCCTATAAAATTTGAATGAAATCTGTCAACCGGTATTTGAGTTATTGCCCGGACACACGAACGGACGTCATTTGTCGCTGCTGCATCAGTGTCTTATTCATTTTCTTCTTCCTTTGTCTTGATTTGATTGTTGTCTTGATTTAATTCTTCAGGGTCCACAGGCTTGAGACTTCACGTAGGTGGGTTTAACGTTTTGATCCGGCCTGAAAACTCTCCCCTTCCCCTAACTGATGTTCTGATGTTGTCTTCTGTCAGTTCTTTCCTCTTACTAGTGATCGGTCTTCTAACTTTACTCATAGTTTACCCTCTTTGCGGAGAATATACTGTTTCATATTCATTTGTTTATGTTGTCTTCCTTCACTAATTTTCCAGTGCTTCATGATGATATTTTCCTGCATATTGTATTAAATACAATATCCATTTATTTCTTGATATAGCTTTCTTAGTATACAAATTTAGTATGTTACTCCTATAACATTGACATTGTAGTTTTTCCCAGGCTGGTAACTCTGTTTGTTGCATCTTCCAAATGACTGCAGATTCTTGAAATCCTTATTATTTGTGATATATTCCATAAGAATGGTTTCTAGGAATTTTTCCAGATAAATTTGGATATGAGACTATTTGGAAATTGAAGTTTTCCCTTTTGTCGTATAGTTTTTTTTATGATTTGTTTCTTTACTATCTTCGGACGCACAAACGGAGGGACGGACGGATGGCTTTTCTATATCCCCCTCGGACTTTGTACGGTGGGATAATAATATATGCACTAGGCCTAATGTTTTTTAATGTATACATTGTATTCTTTGCTTATTATAGTTACGCCATGTCTTGGCATAAATGGTTACATTACATACCCCAAGTGCTTGTTTAATAGCTTTGCTTATTATAGTTACGCCATGTCTTGGCATAAATGGTTACATTACATACCCCAAGTGCTTGTTTAATAGCTTCGTGGCCAACTGCTTTTTTATCTTCAAAGTACCACTGAGCATCAGGCTGCAGTTAAAAAGAACATATATTACACACGTCAAATTGTCAACTAAAGAGAGATCTACACGGGTAACATATGACAATAATAAATAAATAATTTCAAATAAATGAACCATAAAAACTAAAAAAAAATAACAAATTGCAAAAAATGTTTAAATTCACAACATTCATAGAAATATGTATAAATTTTTGTTTTTCATTGAACTTCTAATCAAAATGTACAGTAGAAAATTTCCTGTTATTTACTCCAAATAAATCTCTTATTGAAAGCATGAACCGTAAGCTATATCACAGTAAACATTGCCAGCATTTGGGGATTAATACTTTTTAACCCGAATGTAATGCTGTAAGGCCAAAATATAATTATTGGGTTTGTATCAGATGCTGGCACACTTTTGCCGAAAGGTTGCAAGAAGTAACTTTTGGCAATGTAGTATGTTAGAGTAACCTAGTAGGTGTAAGAAAATATAAGGTGATGGGCTTTAAAGTGGTAAAACAATTTTCACGGCCGAATTGGACTTCAATTCCTGCGATTTCAGGGGGTACTATAAGACTATTTCATAACATAAAGGGTATACTGTAGTTGCTATTGTTCTGCTTTCTACAGCACATATTACTAGTCCAAAGATGAATAATATCCTAAAGTTATAGGCCGATATCTGTATTAGTCTCAGAAATATTGCAATTTATAGGAAAAAATATGCAATTTTTGTCATCTTTAAGTCTCACCTATTTTATATTTGTAGCTTCCAGCAAAAGATGGCAGCTTAAATAGCTCAAAATTGATTTCTAAAAACTAATTCAAGCTTTGTTTGATATTGTTATACAATATATATATATCAGAATATGGCTGTGAAAATTGTTTTTACCACTTTAAAGCCTATCACCTTATATTTTCTTACACCTACTAGGTAACTCTAACATACTATATTGCCACAGGTTACAACCTTCTGGCAAAAGTGTGCCAGCATCTGATACAGTTAACATTTTCAATTATTGATATACAGGATTCACAAATGTATTTCAATTGATTTCTTGTATATGTAATGAATATTATTGCAGTGCTCTTTCCTCAAGAATTTTGAGATTTTTGTGAAGTACTTCATTTATTTATTTCAATCTGCAGAAATTTGTTTTTCCTGAGAATGCATGCAATCAAGATAATATAACGGGAGTAATAATGAACAGGAGTATTGTATATAACATGTTACAAACCTTTATCAAGTATGAGTTGAATGACATGATAATTAATGTTATTGAACAAAACATCATCTCTTCAAAGGAAATATGGAAAAAGAAATATAAAACTAATGCATATAAGCTAGTAATTGAAAGATGGAAAATACTAGAGTCCTTATGTTAAGTCACAAACTTAATGTTTTTAGAATTGTATGTCCCAAGTTCAAAGTAAATGCTTGGTGGACTATGTGCAAGAGAGCACTTATTGTTAAAAATGAATGCTTCCAAATGGTGAGGCTACTAACTGGAGGGTGTTCATTAGAGGTATTTAATCAAACCAATGTTATAAGGGAAACAGGAGATGTTCTTTGTAATGCTGGAGTTGGAGACTTAATACATTTTGTACAACAGTGCAATATTTTACTAGATTCAGATGTTTGGCCGCTTAGAAATACTATGAGGGCAAAACTTGTTAAACTAGATTATGATAACTTTTACATGAGATCAGAAACTGAAAGCTTTTATATCATGATGGGATTACAAGAAATACCAGGTTTAAATGATGAAATGGATTTTACTATTAAGTTTCATAGCTGCAAAATGATATGCAATATGTATAACTATAGAAATGTAAAACTGAAGGAACTAAATTAATTTAAGTCAATAGATAAATGTGGCACTGTATAAATGATACTTTTTATTACTATGTCTATTGTAATGTAAAAATGTAAGTATTGCCACCAAATTGGTGGTTGAATAAATACAACTAATTTATTCCTATTGTAGGCCTACATGGTAAATGACATTTGTATATCTTGGATTGCTTCTAGTTTGGCTGATAAAGTATGTGGCCTCTTATATTTTAATGCTTCCCTGCCATAGTATTTTCAAAAAGATAAACATGGCTGAAATTTTTGAAATTACAAAAGGGCATAGGCTTATTTCACAAAAAACTTAATAATCTGAAATATGCAAATGTCATTCATGTACAATATGTATATACTTTTCCATCTATTATTGTATATTATTATATACCAAATATGTAACACTAATCCTGATTGGTCAATACCTATTAACATGTTCCGAAATAGATTTACTATTACCCTTCCCAAGTTATATTGAATTCCCTCAAATGTAAGAAGAGGGGTAAGTTCATTTTAGGGCACAGACGTCAAGTACGTTTCTGGCGAAAGCTGGAGCATAGATTTTTAAGAGGACTGGAAACAAGATGGCAGTCTATTTCAATTCTGCCAATTCGTGTTGGCCTATTTATCACTATTGACTCAGTTGTTCACCTTAGTTTTACTTACCTTAGATGCTTAGTAATCTATTCAGTATAATATTGTTTCCAAAATTATTGTCATTTGCGATAATTAGTACTAAAAGTACTTTGAACAGGTCAGCTGCCATTTGCTTGGCTTAATCGTACCAGTCCACAAAAAGAGTGAAATCATATTAAAAATACCAATAAAACTTTTAAATTGGTTTGAGAAATAATTAGGATAAGGTTTCAAAAATATGCACATGACAATATATGACTACTAAATGCAGGCAGGGACTTTTAATTACCAAAAAGTTGAGTGACTTTTTAGATGTCGAAAATCTTAGATCTAGATCTATCAGTATCGGGTTGTACTAAATACCACCTAGGTGCCCCACACCTCGGTGTCCCCATTGAAATGCATATTTTACTACTTTATTTCAAGATAACATTATTCCAAGTGTTAATATGGTACATAATAAAGTATTTTCGTGGAATTTGTGTAAATATTTCTGAATTTTGATCGATGTCGAAAAAGTCATTTGTAAGAATAATATTTCATTATTTGCTCACTATAAAATGTTACAAATTCACTTTTTTAGCAACAAGTAAGACTGTAAGAACAATATATGTATATATTTCAAATATAAAAGCACACTTTAGCATAAATGGTGTTTTATTACTACAAATAAGTAACCATACATATGAGCAAAATTCAAGGTGCCCATTTTTCTAACAATAAAACTGTTACATTTTATTTTCGAATCTTCTTTGCTATAAATTATTATTTCAAGCCTATTAAATGTAAAGTTAATATGACAACGGAAATAATACTATATTTAAAATGTGTACGTGGTTTAAAATGGAATTAGAAATCCAGGTGCCTAAGGGGACACCTACAGTGGGGATCATAAAGAATTACAAAAGCTATGAAAATTACATGCTGTCGCACATGTAATAAATTCTTACCTCAGTGTATTCAGTGCTCTATTTTCTCTGTCTTATTAACTTAATTAAGTCCAAATATAGTGGAATTTGTGTCCATAATGACAAATAAGAACTTAAAAAGTTGAAGTAGATATTCACATGTTATGCCGACTCTTCAAATGTTGAGGTGATTTTGTCGCCCGATTGCGCCAGAACGGAGGATTGGCTCCCAGAATGCAACATGACACGTGCCAGCTTTCAAAATGCTGTTCCGTCATTTTTAAAACTGTCACGAGTAAATACAGTTAACTAATGTTGCATTCTGAGTCAACCGTCCTTGGATAACAAACATGGCGATTCATGAAAACATTCGTTCGATTTGGAAGGGACTTAGCCATTATTTGCAGGTATGAAGCTTTGGAATTCATTTATTGTGCTACTTTAGTGAACGGGAATTATTTTTCTACAGCTTGGGAGAGTTTGAGACACGAAACTTGGAATTTAGCTCATTGTGACAACTTGTGAACGTTGAGTTTTATTTTTGTCCCCCACTGTTGCACAGTCAGAGAGAATGTTTCTGGCGAAATTCTGGGATTTCAAAAACTTGAAGTTGGGAAACCGGAAGGGCTTACCTTTTTTAATTCCCGAATCTCACCGAATCTCTCCGAAATTAGCTCATCTTGGTGACTGTAAATTGCACAGCTGTATTCAATGGAGTCTCGTCATATTCAATCAGCCTCAATTTTAAAGTGTATATTTTATTTTCAACGTGATTTCATCGTTTTTTGTCGACTGGTAAGAATACGCTGGGCAAATGGCAAGATGGATGACTTTTGACCTGACCTACACCGATGGCGGTGACGTCATCAATTTTATCTATACAAATTCTATTTGGTCACGTGACCTTGTGCCAGAAGTCCGACTTTTTGGTCAGTCGACCTGTTCAAAGTACATTTAGTAATAATTATCGCTTTTCAGAACAATTTAGGAAACAATATTTTCTATCTACGTCGATTACAAAGCATCTAAGGTACGTAAATTTATATGAACAACTGAGTCAATACTACTTTTTTCAAGGCCTGACTTCGTCGCTAACATGCTAAATATAAGAGTTAGCTGACGTTTGGGAGTCTGACTTACCTTCTAAAGGTTAGAACCCGAATCTTAATGAAACCATATCACCTTTGTTCCGTCGATGATGATGCATAAACATAGCATTTGATAGAAATTAGTGTAAATGCTTTTCCGACTTTCTCATTTTTCATCAATGTTGACCTCCGGGAAGGCGTTGTAGTTATCACGAAATAACGCATTGACCCTTGAACTTTACTTTGTTGACGTGTCAACCAAGCATGTCTGGTGTGAAAATTAAAAGAATATTAAGCAATGTTATACATCCGCCAAGCTACGTGAAGTAAAGTGCTGATATATAATAATTAAGGGTGCGTTTTCAAACTAAACAGAGTGCTCCTATCAAAATGAATTTGCCTACATACCCCTGAGACTCTTATCTGATAGATAAAATGCACAAATAAAACAAAAGTTTTGCTATTATAGGTAAAAAGTTCTCTTGAAATTTCGAAGTGATTTTACCTGTTAATTCTGTCCATGTCACGCCATTTTTGCGGAAGTTACACTGAAACGCAAACTCTATGAAACGAAACGAAATCACTAGAAAAAAAATGGCACACATTGTGCGCATGTGCAGCAAAGTTTAGACCAATCAGATTATTTGATTATTTTGCGCATATGAATTAGTTGCTTCTGAGCACTTACAAGCTTACCACAATAAACAAACCTGGCAGAGACTACCCTTAGCCTACTTCATTTTGGCGAAATTTCAGCTCAAACTCGTGATAAATGCATTATGCATACGCTGGTGTGAAGCCTTGGAGACACTCATTTTGGTAAATATGATTTATGGGGTATACTTTTCTGCAGTTTGTGGGAGTTTGGAACATTAAATGTTAAAATTCAAGAAAATATGCCAATTAAACGACTGATCAATTAATATATACCAGGACTGTAAAATATTTTTCACATGCTGTCCGACAGTCAAAAAATCAATTTTTAGAAAAAGTTCAAATCTCTCAATAAAATCATTTGGCCTACTTACTCATATTTACATGACTTATTTTTTGAAGTCAAATGTGTGCATATTCGCCTAGTCAGTAGGCAGATTCTCGAAATTGGATCCAAATACAGTAAGAAACTCAGGCCATTTTCTTGAGAAAAGTTCCTTCTCACCCTCTGTTCAAGTGACGTCAGAGTTCCAAGAATCTTCCAGAATTGCATGAATTCCATGAATGAACTATAGTTTAATTTTTGAAGGGGTGATAAATATCCAAAATTATAAATAAACAGATTCAAATGTGATAATCCAGTTTACAAACTAATCTAAACATATGTAATTTCACATAATGTAATAAATGTAATTGACAATCTCAAGTATGATGGTCAAGTTTACAAAATATAATGACTTGTCATGTCATGAGATTTTTTCGAATCATCCACCATTTTTAAATTTAGAGGATTAATCAGAAGAAAATGTAATTGGACACGATTCTGTTCAGCTCTCTGACGAAAGGAAGGAGGTGTAGATAAGTCATAGACCAAATTTATCATATATGGCTGAAAAACTCAGGAATACGGCCGAATGAGAAAATAAATGGATTTTTCGACCGTCGGACAGCATGTGAAAAATATTATAGTCAATATTTAAAATTACCAATTTCAAGTGAAGTACGCAACGAACGAAACTGCGTGATCTACACTCCCACTATTGGTCTGAATGAAATGCTACGTAGAAATATGAGCCGTCTGCTGTATTAGTCGATTAATAGAGTAAGACCTGTTGGTGATGCTTTATAATTTAGACCAAAACATTGAAGAACAAACGAACCCGTAAATCGTGAAAACAACGAACAAATATTCGGTTTTCACATATGTTCGGTAATTTTTCGTATTGAAACTTCCGGAACTTACAAAGAAATCATTCATTTTCTCGGTCCATGATTTACCTCTTGGATGTTGTGGCAAATGCTCCATGGTTGACGGAACAAAGGTGATATGGTTTCATTAAGATTCGGGTTCTAACCTTTAGAAGGTAAGTCAGACTCCCAAACGTCAGCTAACTCTTATATTTAGCATCTTAGCGACGAAGTCAGGCCTTGAAAAAAGTAGTAGGGATAAATAGCCCAACGAGAGTCGGCGGTCTAAAAAATACTTGGATCTGGATGCCAGTCCTGGTATAGATATAGTTCCAGGGCAGTTCCAGGGCAGTTCGAAGAACGTATTAGATGTCCGTGCACTGTTCGTGGTATTTAGTAACACAGTATCACTGGAAATCTGAAATGAACATGTGAAGAAGTACTTACGCCGTATAATGTTATTAGTTGCCCAAGATTTAAACTGTCAAAAAATGTATAATAGCTTTGGACAAATGCCTGACCAATCTCATTAGCTAGATCCGGATTCATGTACTGATTCATGGCTAGATTTCATGCAAAATAGTTAAAATTTTTGAAAGTTGACTTTTTGATGAAAATGGCGGCGGTCAACCGTAGATTCCAAACTTTGAAACGAAATGATTATAAACATCACTTATAAGTAATATTCTATCCAAAATCCAAAAAGAAATTTATTTGTTTTTCTTGATCAATAGTTACAAGTACACAAAAAGATAATAAACTCATAAAATAAGCTATTTTTCTCCTTCTTTTTAGATTTCGTTTATTAGTCTAAGTTCTAGTTTTTAACCGGAAGTAAATATCCAGCGGAATTTTCAAAATACTTTTAAAATGCCACAATATTGTTGAATTCCACCATATATTCGATGACTTGGTAAGTTTGAATACCTGGACAGTAATAAAGAAATATTTTTTAATACAAGATGCCATCTTGAACTAAATTGACTGTTACTCATCTCTAGATTAGGCCAAGACTGTTTCGTCTGAATAAATTCAGTTGGATAGCCAACACATGGACATGTAGGCTAGGCCTACATTACTCGAGTCTCTAGCTTACAGCTAGACGAAACTTCATTGATTTCGTATGTACTGTGCTACACGCACCTACACGCACCTAGAACTCATTTTTAATAAATTTTATAAATATTTTTAAGAATATTAATCATATTTAGGATGAAGCGTTGCTTGTCTGGATTTAGATATTTCAAAATTTCATTTCGGAGTTTCAACACATGGTGAAATTTTCTCGCTGTAGCTAAAAATGGCTTCCGGTTCTGGACGTGAATAACATTTGAAATTATTCTCGCTTAAAGAAATCAAATATAACAATAGATTCAGACGGGGATGTGAGCTGGTGTTCTTCAAATCTATACATAAAGGTATATTTCATATTATTATGTCATATTTACTGTGCGTGTGACACAATGATTTACAATATTTATAATACTAAGGCAGCTCAATCTTCCTCCTCAAAGCCGGAATATAGAGAAGGCTTTGGACCGAAGTAAGGCCTACATGTACTACATCAGCTTACTAAGCTTAGTTTAGGCCTCTGTGCACACAAGATTCAAGATTGAAGTTCCCTTATTACAGTCTTAGGCCTACATGTTAATATTTTACATGTCTAATTTGGGTGGCCCTATATTCTGAAATCATCTCAAAATTTTATGGAAAAACCGAAATTGTTTACATTACGGTTTTTGTAGATTGGGTTAATTTGGCACCTGCTTTACTTTGGCGAAGCAGGAAAAAATCAATTTACATCTCGACCAAAACTGAGAAAAGATCCCAGGGAATTTTCCAGGGAACTTCGTCGTATGCATTTATTCACTCTTGGTTTAGTTTTCACAAATTCTGAAAAGGATCAGCTGAACGATCATCAATATGATTGAGCATTTACACATGGAATTTTTCAGTAATAGTTTACTACGGTAAAATGTATGTACACAAGTCCTAACTTTTGTACATTTCAGATAGTTATGTACAATGTGCAGCAAAACTGTGGCCTTTTGTAATTTAATCGCCAAATCATGTAGCACAAAATTAATCCCATCTACAGTACTAAATTTGGTGATACACCCATAGATCTGTTCTATTGGCCGACAACTGGTTTGGGAGCCGTCAGCTCAGATTTTTTTCAGAAATTACATATAATAATTGTGATTGGTTTATATGTAATGTTCTGATTTGATTAGCAAATGGACTGACGGCCCTTAGATTGGATAATTGAAATTTCTTTACCAAAAGAGAATCATCAATGAATGTATGAACTGGTATAAGTGACAAGTGTCCAATTGATAATAAGTACAAAGTGAAAATACTGTACACCAAAAGGCAGCATTATATTGCTGCCAAATGACATACACAATCACAGTAACGGATATAGAAGAAGAAAATTTAGATAACACGTAGGAAAAACTGAGTTGACGGACACAAAACATTACGCATGCATGTCACCCTTCATCTCAATCCCATATCCATCATCTGTTTTCAGTACCCTATCATCTCGGTTTCATAAAAGCGCTTAAATCTCAAATAGCTCAATGTGAAATTTGCAATTTTTTGCAATTTGAAAAGTAAACCACTGAATATTTTAGTAATTTATACATTCTAAAGAAATATCAATTAATATATAATCTAGATATAATAATGCACCTTTTGCGCAAAAAAATGGAAGATGTATGTGTGGAATGAGTTATGTTTATCTGGAAATAACACTGTCCTGAAATTTCATCAAGGTACACATTGACCTTTAAGATATCATCGTATTGTTGTCTAGCCTGTGACCTAGTGGTAAAATAGGTAATTAACAATTACCTACTTGCATCTTTGTAATTGAAGTTCACCATCAGTTTGAAAACAGCTGTGACGTTCATCCAATTCAAACGCAGTGAACAGAATTTCCTTCTTATTATTATTTAAAACTACAAGTGCGGCATATTTTTCGTCAAAAATATTGATGTTTTTCAAATGGATAGTACACGTCTTTATCCTGATTTTTGAGATTTGCAGTCGTACCGGCCTGAGATAACACCCTAAAGGATCTAGAAAAGCATATTTCAAACCTCAATCTCGCTATTATGGCAAGATAATATCTTCCCTTGCATCCTTATTTGGTTTTCTTAAAAAAAAGATTTGAGATATGATCAAATATGGAAGTACAGGTGAAAACCAGATTTTTTAAAACATCAAAATAGCGTGGAGTCGTGGGTTTGATCCCCATTTGGGTGGACTGACTTTTTCACATCAGCCCTTAAAACTGGATTTTATTCTGTGTTTTCATTAACATACACACCTCCTTCCCTGAATTAAAAAAATCTAGATTATCTTAACATCACCATCGCCCATTTACACTTATTAAGTTATTTGACAATTGAAGAATGATTCAAATCATTATAAAGATGCTATTGAATTTCTGATATTTTTGCATTTAGATTGACTGAAGGATGGAAACTCCCAGAGACCAACAGAGCCAGAGCATGCTGGTGCGAAGATCCTCCTCTAGGAAAGCCAAAGAAAGGCAAAGTACATCAATGATAGAGGGCAGCACCAGGTCTCGCTCTTCACGGAAAAGGAAAAGCGGGGAGATGCTCAATAGTCCAGGGCTAATAGATGAAGACACTCCAAGGTCTCAGGTACATGAATATTAAAAATTCGGGGTTCAAATTTTGAAAGCTGTTCTTCGGGTCAAACTTTAGGGGGTGGCTCACAAGTGGTTATTATAAAAATACTGTTTAATAAGGTTTCTTATTTTTGAAATAGACATTAATCCATGTTGTTAGCCAGGAATTAGGCTGCAGGAGAAGCATGCAATCATCTGTCTTTATATAAAAAACCTACTACCTCATACCCACCTACCCACGTACGTTGGACATGAAACAGTCTTTGAAGGGTTCAATTTTAAAGGTCTTAGTTTATTAAATCTTAGTTTATGATGAATTATAGATGCATTTGTGACAAGCCTTGATAGCAATTTGGGGCATCGAATTTAGCACACTTTCTTTCAATTTCTTTATCTGGCTTGTTGGACCTATGCTTGCTTTCATTAGTTATTTATTCCCTTGGAACACCCTTGGGTCATTGCACATTAAAATGCATCCATATGCCTTTATTTATGGATCTGTCATCTGTCTAGTCATAAAATAAATCCGGAATTGTAGAAATATTAATAATTTGAGCTATTTTGAGATTTAATAATCTTTAAAATTGAACCCTTCAATGACTATCATGTTCCACGTAGGTGGGTAGGTGGGTATGAGGTAGGAGGTTTTTTATACGAAGCCCAATTTTATACAAATCATCTCACAAAAAATTCAAACCTTTGTTCAGATCCTGGCTGTTCCAAACTGAAATTACGCATTCATAAATATGTATCTTTTATATGATGTTTTTTAGATCAATGCTCTCTTAAAGAATATGGACACAGTGTATCCAGAGAAGCGTCAAATGTCACATCTTGGAAAAGCTAGAGCAACCCCTACCTCTATCACTCCACTCTCCTCGGCAAAGACAATAATGAAACACCACGGGCGTGGGAAATTTCGTGGACTGTCACCAAATGATAGTCTCACATTGCGGAAGATTACACCAAGAACAGCAATCAGAGGTCTTATTGGAACAGGTAGGAGAAATTTATTTCAAAATTCAAAATCGAATTTTGAATAGAATAAGCTTAAATAAGTATCAGGTAAATTATAAGCCTACTCTTAATTTTTATTTTTAAATTATTATCCCATCGAACAAAGTTCAGAGGGATATAGTGATAGGGAACGCCTCCATCTGTCTGGGCAATTACTCAAATACCGTTGACCCGATTTTGTTCATATTTTTCACATATGCCCTATGGTAGTAGAAGTTCTTCTTAGAAGCATACTTTCAAAATGGCTCCTCGCTTAAAAATGGCAGCTATTTTAGTACGGATTTTAGAGAACTGTAATTGCAATATGTTTTAAATGTAAAAAAGTTATAAAGGACATCTAGCTAGAAATGTAGATATTTAAGAAGCACATAGCAGTCATCTTGAAAATGGCAGCCTTTACACGCTATTTTACAATTTTTGCTGTAACTTGAAAAGCAGTGGAGCCATTTTGTTCATATTTGATTTGTAAACACTCATAAGCATGACACACTGTTTTATGACACTTGCATTTTTCAAAATGGCCATCATTTAACATGTCTTATTATATGTTCATATTTGATCTATGAACGTATGACTGCCATTAACAAGTATGATTGCAATTTTTTGAAATTTTATATGTGCCTACTTTATAGAAGTTTTACACTTTTTATGATAGTTTGGCTAATGAGCAACCATTTTAAAAATGGTGGCCATTTCTATATTTGTTATATTACGATTTTTGCTATATTGAAAAAGTAGTAGAAGAATTTTGTAAAAATGCCAGCCTTGGCAGTTTGATGGGATTTGCCACGCTTTGGCGTTGCTGTTGTCTAGTTTAACTTTTGATGGCTATAATAACTTATTTTGTATGGTCTCCAGTGGATGATTGACTACCCAGATGTGTTGGTCATGTGATTCTATACTGGTTGAAAAATGAAAGTGAAAGTGATGATTCTTAATCTTCAGATAACACCAATATTACAAACAAAATCATTTTTTATGATTATATATATTTATTTCTTTATTAAACATACATTTGTTTCATACTATATAGACTTATTTTGGCAATACACTTATTTCAATGTTAACCTTATTTCAATATCATTTGTTTTCTAACAATTTCCAAACTTGAAGGAATCAAAATGTTAACAAACTCTTTCAAGTCGACTTCCTAATGATGATGGGACCTTGGATGAATTCATTGGCAAACGCTGCTAATTTACAATATATACAAACTAATTCTATATACAATAATTACTTTCATCAATCTCTTTCTGCAATTTTATTTTAACATTCTTTGTGTTTTTTGCTTTATAAATAGAAAACGAAATTGCAAATGCATTTTCTTATCCTTCATTAGTTCCCAAAATGTTTGAATTGATCTTAAACTCTCAATATTTTCTGTTGAGATGAATACATGTTCATCTTTCCCTCAGTATATGAATTCACTAAATATAAAATGGAATATTTGATTTTTTATTGAAATGTTCTCACTAAGTACATATACAAAATAGGTGTATTTCTTTAACATATTTGATAAATATCTGATACGAGGAGGACTTCATGCTTTACACCTTTCTCTTTTGTTTCAAGATTCAAGTTATGTTAAAAAAAAAAAAAAAGTTGACAGTGTCCATTGTTCATATATAATGTTTCTTGAGTGCAAACTCGAGACTGTAGGTGACTTGGGAATACACCCTCATATTTTTATCATGTGATTGGTTCTTATCCAATGAGAAGTGTTCAGATTGGAGTGTGTTCAGATTAGCCAGGTGTTCGGATACAGGTTTCAATGCATGTCTGATTGAACGCAGTGTATACCTTACAAAAACTTTCAATAAAAGTCCACTGACTTCACTCGCGAACTCTTCCTCAAATAAAACTTGATAAATTCATGACGTAAAGACCTACTGGTGAGAAACTTCAAACATTTGATGATACTGTAAAGACACAATACAAATATTGAATATAAGAGATGAAACAATTGACTATCATTCATTCTAAATGTTATCTGTGTAACCATGTGGAACAAGGCTGCAATAAGCAAGACAAAAACTTCAGTGGCAATCAACTTGTATTCCCAAATGAAATCTTTTCGTTGTAAAGGATGGATTATACTAAGCTGCTTTTGTTGATTTTGACGATGCTTTCCATCAGGATTTGATTCACCAAGATCCTTGGATGGAGAAAATGGAGAAATCTTATTCTTAAACCAGTTTTTTACTTTGTGACACTTAACCATATTATTCTCATTCTTTGGATTAGTTTTATTCATCCCTCGTTTGGCATTTACTTTTATAAAACTATTAAATGTTGTCCTAATGTCACTGATTGTTTCGTTCTGCTTTTGTGGCTGTTCATTTGAATGTTCTTCGAAACTCTCCTCATTATTTTCTAATTCATCAAAATCTATATGAATCTGGAATGCATCAACAATGTGAGTTTGTGTATCATCTTGTACGTTTGATTCTGTCTGATGGGCATTCGTGTTATCAATCTTACCAATCTTGAACGTATCATCTTTTACATTTGGCTGTGCCTGACGGCCATGCATGTTTTCAAGCTTATCAATCTTGATAGTATCATCTATTACATTTGGCTGTGTCTGACGGCCATGCATGTTTTCAGGCTTATGGACTTGGAACACATCGACTGGTGTCTGCACGCTTGATTGATGTTGTCTGCTTTTGACATTAGGCTGAATATGTACCGTAAAAATCTTCTCTCTTAAGGACCATACCATCTTAGAATGTACAATTACTGTGAGGCCAAAACAGCATATGTCAGCTACATTGTCCACCCAAATAAGGTCATTGTGGTCTGGTATTATGATAAGTATTGCGGAATACAGACATACTATGACTGACATGACACAAATTATCCACCAGGGAATCCGTCTGTATGGTTGAGTAACTTTCACCATCCTAACAATTCCAATCAAGCAAAGGAATTTCATACTCAGCCTACACATTGGTAAATATTTCCTCCACGTAAACACCCCTGGCAAGTTGCATTCATTGAAATCCAAGGCCACAAGAATGCCTATAATCAATTCTTTGAGTATGCCGCAAATGTGAACGAAAACTTGTATAAAATGAAATGTATTCTCACGGATATGTAATCTTTTTCCTTTGAATGAAAGAAACAGCCAGTTTATTTGAATGTACATGGCTACACAGCAAAAGGTAATAACAGCCGCAGATGCAATTCTGTTATAATGTCTACACCCATATTTGTCGCTCCTATCATCAAGCATTTGCTTGTAATTGACGACTGTAACATTGTCTTCAACAGTTGGCAAAGCAGTGTCTGCAAAACTTTCTTCAATCATTTTGGTTCCAGACTGTTGATATTTGTTGAGGTTCCCGTATTTAAATTCTTAAAAATGATCTTCTTACGGAACTAATGACGTCCATGTGCATGCAGTGTTCCTATTGGATGATAGGTCAAATTGATGTAAGTGTGATTGGTTAACAAATATGTAATAAGCAGACTAGGCGATTAGTAATATCTAGGGTTCTGGTCTATAGATCCTCGTGCCCTGTTTTTTAATTGTCAAGTGATAATTGAAGTACAGATGTGCTAATATAACCGATTCTATTTTGAATAAGGCTTTTTTGTCTTGTGGCTCATTTGAAATCCTCCGTGTATGGCAATTTCATCCATCCTTCATTTAAAGGAGTTCATTTATTACTCAATTCAAGAATGATGGAAAGAAGTGAAATACCCTTGGACCAAGGATGTGACAATTCATATGGTTTCACTTTTTAAAATGTGTCTTATAAAGTCTTCAGTTGTCCCTCAAGTTAGAAATATACAGATCAAAATGAACGAAGTGAACAATCCAGAAGCAAAACAATAAAAGGGGGATCACAGCAACTTTGCACAATCAGGCCCGTAAGACACTTTTCTCCAAGGGGGGTGCGGTTTTTAGCTTACTAAAGAGAATATAAAATTGTCATTTTTTTGCCGCGTAAATCAAATCGCGTAAGACAGAGGGGGGGGGGGGGGGTCAGTTACTCCCCATATTGGTTTGGAATAAACAAATGCATTCAACTTCCAAACGTTCCAATTGTTTTGTGGGGGGTGTGAGGAGTGGTCCACTCCCCCTAGAAAATTTTACAGTTTTGAGATGCTATTTGGTGCTTTCTGGGCACTTTCAAAGTAAGTTTCTAAGTAGTACGCCACCACCACGGGAATAAGAGTTGAGTGAATAAAAAACCGAGCATTCAGGGGGGGGTCTGGGGGTTCTCCCCCAGGAAAATTTTGAAATTTGGTTGTATTTGGAGCGAATTTGCAACCATCTGGTACGCCTGTGCATTATGAGTCGATAAGAAAAATGTGAATTTTTTTCAAATTCTTTTGGGGGTGTCAAAGAGGATGAGAGGGTGCAGTGGGGTGGGGTGCCAGTAGGGGAGCAAGGGGTTGTCCCCCAGAAACATTGACCATATCAAGGTGCTATTTGATGATGTCTGGGCACTTAAAAAATGTCTGAGACAATACATGAAATTCAGAATATTTTCTTTTGTTTTGTGAGGGATGTGAGGCGTGTCTAACTCTCCTAGAAAATTTTACAATTTAAAGATGATATTTGGTGCTTCTGGGCACTTTTAAAGTGTATTAGTCAATAAAAACATTGAAAAACAATCACAATTTTTTCAAATTTTTGGGGTGTCAAAGGGGAGGGGTGCCAGAGGGGGAGGTGGGGCTGGGGTGCCAGAGGGGGAGCAAGTGTTGGTCCCCCATATCAAAAATTACAATATCAAGGTGCTATTCGATGAAGTTTGGGCACTTAAAAGTGTCTGTGCCTAAAAGTGCCTATTTCCCAAGAAAATTTTACAATTTTAAGATGCTATTTGGTGCTTTCTGGGCACTTTCAAAGGGTATGAGTCAATAAAAAAATCTCAATTTTTTGGGGGGAGGGGGGCTGCCAGACGGGGGAGGTGGAGTGGGGATGCCAGAGGGCGAGTAAGTATTAATCTTCCAGAATCATTAATTTTATCAAGGAGCTTTGATGATGTCTCTCTGGGCAATTTAAAAGTGTCTGAGACAATACATAAAACAAATTCAGAACTTTTCCATTGTTTTGTTTGGGGTGTGAGGGGTGGCCCACTCCCCCTAGGGGGGGGGGGCGCCAGAGGGGGGGGGGTATGCAAGTGCAAGATGCAAGAGGGGGAGTAAGTCCCCCAGAAACACTAACTATATCAAGGAACTATTTGATGATATCTGGGTACTTTAAAAGTGACCAGAGCTGTCAAGTGTCCCGCGAATGGCGGGATTATCCCGCGAATTTGATCAAAATTAGGCTAATTCGCGTGTCCCGCATTGTCCCGCGAAGTCCCGCAAAATGTGGCTTTGACCTCCGCGAATTTCCGAAATTGTTGCAATCCCCTATATTTTGATTATCTTATCTTATATAAGAAGCTAAGTTTTTGCACTTTTGAGGAGTAAAGTTTACCTAATTTTAAGTACCTAGCATGCTGTTGTTTGGTATCAAAACCAGAACAACGGCAACGCCAAAGCGTAGCGAATCCCATCGAACAGAAATAGCTGGCATTTTTACAAACGAAATATATAGCAAATATCATAAAATAACACACATAAGAAAGTTGTCATCAGAAGAAGTAATATGCTTTTTTATAGTATTCACATGCCAAATATGAACAAAATCGCTCCACTACTTTTCGAGTTATAGTAAAATACTTTAAAATGGAGGCCATTTTTCAAAATGGCCGCCTTCTACCAAAAGTGTCATAAGACAGTGTGCCATGCTAATAGTATTCGAATACCAAATATGAACAAAATCGCTCAACTACTTTTCAAGTTACAGCAAAAATCGTAAAATAACGAGTAAAGGCTGAGTAAAATACGTTTAAATGGCGACCATTTTTCAAATTCCATTTTTTGTCATCAGAAGAAGTAATATGCTTTTTTTATAGTATTCACATGGCAAATATGAACAAAATCGCTCCACTACTTTTCGAGTTACAGTAAAATACTTTAAAATGGTGGCCATTTTTCAAAATGGCCGCCTTCTACCAAAAGTGTCATTAGACAGTGTGCCATGCTTATATTATTCACATACCAAATATGAACAAAATCGCTCCACTACTTTTCGAGTTATAGTAAAATACGCTAGAATGGCGGCCATTTTTCAAAATGGCCGCCTTCTACCAAAAATGTCATTAGACAGTGTGCCATGCTTATAGTATTCACAAACCAAATATGAACAAAATCGCTCCACTCCTTTTTGAGTTAAAGTAAAATATGTTCAAATGGCGACCATTTTTCGAAATGGCGGCAAATTTTCAAAATGGCTCCTCCTACCAAAAATGTCATTAGACAGTGAGCCATGCTTATAGTATTCACATACCAAATATGAACAAAATCGCTCCAATACTTCTCGAGTTACAGCAAAAATCGTAAAATAACGAGTAAAGGCCGCCATTTTTCAAGATGGCTGCCATGTGCTATTTTAATTTCTACATTTCTAGCTTTATCAATGTCCTATATAATTTTTTTACATTTAAAACATAATGCTATCACAGTTTTACATATTGCACCTAAATAACTGTAAAATCGGCACTAAAATGGCCGCCATTTTAAAATGAGCGGCCATTTTGAAAATCGGCTTTTAAGCAGAACTTCTACCCCCATAGGGTATATGTGTACAAAATATGAACAAAATCGGGCCAACGGTATTTGAGTTATTGCCCGGACGGACGGACGGACGGACGTACGTACGTAGGGACGGACGGACGGAGGCGTTCCCTATATCCCTCCGAACTTCGTCGTCCCTTCGGTCGTTCGGGGTACAGAAAACGTTTGTGCCGAGACCAGCTGGGTGTTATTCGAAACTAGAAACCCTGCTCTTTGGTCTATATTTCTTAATTAATCAGTATCTGAAAGTTTGATTTAAGTACTTCTACACGCTTTTACATTAGTCCCAATCACGCAAATCCCTTGAATGTCCCGGGACATCCTGCAAATTTAGGTGGATGTCCCGCGAAATCCCGCAAATTTAGGGCACTTTGTCTAAAAAATCTGTCCCTCTATGAAGTTTTTGGTGGTACACCTGTTAACTGTCCCGCAATTTGGGTGTTTGTCCCTCGAATGGTCCCGCGAAATCCCGCGAATTTGATAAAAAAAATCTCCTATTAGCGCAATCACGCAAATCCATTAAATGTCCCGCAAAATCCCGCGAATTTAGTAGATGTCCCGCAAAATCCCGCGAATTTTGGGCACTGGGTCTAAAAAATCTGTCCCGCGAGAAAATCTTTAGGGGTTGACAGTACTGAGTGACTGAGAAAAAACTTAGAACTTTTCCATTGTTTTGTGGGGGGTGAGGGGTGGCCAATACCCCTAGAAAATTTTACAATTTTAAGATGCTATTTGGTGCTTTCTGGGTACTTTCAAAGTGAATGAGTCAATGAAAAAAAATATTACAAAAAAAATATTTAAAAAAAAAAAAATTTAAATTTTTTTTTTCAAATTTATTTTTGGGGGGGTGACAAAGGGGGGTGCGGTCGCACCCATCGCACCCCCCCATCTGACGGCCCTGACAATCAAGGGAGAACAATCTTGCTTCAGGATCCTCCCCCTCCCCACCTCCCCTTAACTACTTGAAATTTACTATCCTTGAAGCAAGACTTAGTGAGAATTCTATAAAAACTACATTTTCAGATTTCAAAATGATAAACGAACTTTGCAGATTCAAAACATTATAGATGAGTAGCAATATTGAAGGAATTATAAGCAAAGGCATGAAAAACAACATGCTTATGACAAATCAGAGAAATGTGTTAATTATTATTAAGAGACCCCAGAGAGTGTTCTTACCCCCCTATCACACCAAACTAGTTCTTACCCGTTCTTGCCAGTCCTACGAAAACATCGTCAAATGGGCTCAATCTGGCTGTGGTCGGGAAATATGTCTGAAATAATTAGCTTCTTCGTTCTTAAAGACCGTGCTCGAGTACCCCCCTGCAGCCCATTAAGGAAATTAGATAGCTGATAAAAATTACATAATTAAACATTAAGGATTAGCCTATCACTGATGGGCTCACTTTCCTTATATGGATAACTGTAGTATTTACTGAACATAATGACCTATGCACATGGTATATTTGGCGGGGTTTTGTATCTTGTAGGGTGCTTGTTTATGAAGGACAATTGGGTGTTAGTCTACAGATAGCCATCTGAGATAAAGTTTTCTTTATTCTTTTAATTATCCAAATAATTTCAAGAAGTCCATAATTTGTTATCTTCTTATTCTACCATAAATGATGAGCTGAATTTTACTAATGACCACTTTGAATGTCTAAAGAATCAGGATCTACTTGAAGAGTGTCATTAGCAATTGGTTTTAGGATAGTTCAGTAGAAGTTTATAGGGAACTTCTCAAAAATTTGCCAAATGAATTATAGATCATGGTATGAACCAATCCTGAGATACCAACAAGTTTCCTACAATCCCCCAAATCAAGGGTAATGTCTGGAAATGTAATGTCCCTTTCATCCAGAGAAATGAAAGCAAACACAGGACAACCAGAACCATGATAAATGTCCAAAATAAGGAAAAGTTGGGTAATACAGTGGGGTTGTTGAAAGATATTCTTCTCAGGGACACCAAACCCAGGATGTCCTGGTCTCTAACCCATAATCACTCATAAACCATACAGTTTGAAATTGTAAACTAATTTTCAATGAGAATATTTGAGTCATCTTCAAAATGTTAAAATGGTCAATTCAATTATATAACCTGGGGATGTCTCTACTTCCCTTTACTTTCACTTTACTTACAGTTCTCAAATCAACTACATCATGTCTCAAGCACTAACAAATAAAAGTAAACAGAAAGTTATTATTCAAAGTAGAACATCTTGGAGAGGATTTATAAAGCAGAGACTTTATAACAAGCTTGGTGGGATTAAAATGCAAACTTAGCAATACCAGTTTAGTGACTTATACATTGTCAAATGCATTTGATACACAATGTTGAGAAAAGGTCAACAATTATTAGCACCAACATATTGTATAAAACAAAACACGGAACATATTCAAGGATTATCAATAAACTCAAGCAAAAGACCTTATAAAACAATATCATTTAAAATCAAAGGAATATATACTCATTGGCATTGTTGGATTACGTTTTTGAATTGATGAATACTACACATGTTTGGTAAGTAGAAAACATTGTTCTCTATTTACACTCAGCAATATCCCTTTGTTTATATGTATCATGTGACCAATTTCTGCAATGCCGATTGGCTGTACTTTGAGTTGTTAACTCCTCCCATTAGCAGTTAAAAAAATGAAGATTTAATGTGTTTTCAAGATAACTCTGATTGAAATAAATACATTTATTTGAAGATTGTATATTCATACACAAATGAGACAAATTATGTTGCAATCTGATCATTAATTCTATAGGAAAAGGCTAATTTATTGTCAGAGCAAGCAGTTTCAGTTATTTTCAAATTTAATGGTTTACTAATGACTCCATTTCTTACTGAATCTGGCTTTAAATACTCAGCCACCCCCTTTAAACAGTCTTCAATACGTCCATCTCGTTCGCAGTTCGTTCAGGTCGCACCACGTCCGAGTGCAACGTCATAGAATGCGTCCCTTCTAGAAGGTCAACATGACCTGATTACAGAACGGCATGGCCGCATCGAATTTTGAATCGATTCAAAATTCTAAAATCACATTCCCGTCTGAGAACGTTCATAAAGTTCGTAAATAGACCTTAGAAGCTACGTTCATTCCGTTCGCACACAGTTAAAAACCAGTTTTGAAGAACGCAGTGGCAACTTGTTTGGTTTGATAGCTATATTTTTGCTAACTCGTTCATAAGCAGTGTTAAATACTTTCTTAATCAGTTTAAACCCGTTTGCAATTAGTTCTACCTCGTTCTCTACATGTCCGCAGACAGTTAAACTCGTTAAAACATCCCTAGTAGGATTGAAGTACGACGGTTCCGTTCGTAGTACGTCCAGCTCATCGTTAGTACATTGTCACTCGTTCTAATTGTAGAACGTGACGACCACGAGAACATTTTGAGCATTGTCTAAGTTCTAGAGGACCTACCCATTCGAGTATGTTCGATGAAGTTTGTAAATAGATCCCAAACGGTTCTTAGTAGGTCCAGTCGGTTCGTATACAGTTGAAGCCCGTTTTCGAGAATGCAGTGAGAACTAGTTTGGTGTGATAGTAGGATTAGCTTTTCTTTATTTGCTCCTCATTTAATTCTTTCAAAGCATTTTTCTCATTCTCTCACTATTTACTAGACGCTCCTGCTAGGGAACTAATGATCGCATTAGTGGAAGTCTAGGAGGCCTGTTATGCCTCTTTCCCTGTGTGTATGGTACATATTTTCAACGCACACATACTATTTTACTCATTTTTCCAAAAAATAATTAAAAGCTTAAAATTATAACTTTTTACATTACACGTTTGAATTAATATTTTTTTCAAAAGTGGAACTAATGGGACATTATATTATTCAGTTGGGGTTACATTATCATCAGTTGACTATTTCTTAAAATCTTGCACCAGTTTTGAGATAGAAGAGCTCAAAAACATCCGCCCGTCCAGGCGATAATTCAAATAACAATGACCTGATTTTGTCAATATTTTGTAAACATGCATACTCCCTAGGAATAGAAGTTCTGCTGAAAAGCTGATTTTCAAAATGGCCATTTTAGTGCCAATTTTACAGTAATTTAGGTATAATATTGTCGGACCTGGCCAAAATCTGGTAGTGTGGTTGTGATCGGGTCACGAACAATTTTTATTATTTATTAAGGGATTCTCACTGGTCTTATGTGGGCGTAGACCTGGTTTGGTGGTACTGCTTTCACTGAAAGAGGAGGTTGTTACACATATGCATACAAAATACAGATATACAGTTTTTATAATTTATTAACACTATAATTTAACAAATAAAACTCAGTGTCCATATAATAATCGAATGTAAGTTGTGTCGTTGCTCTTCTCTTGTTGTACTCTACTCGGCTTTACTCTCTATTCTGTTTTGGTTTCGTCTCTGCTATCTGTTGTGCTTTATGTTCGACTCTGTTCTGCTTACTCTTGACTCTGTTTTGCTTTACTCTGTTCTGCCCCTGTTTACTCTTTACTCCTTTCTGCTCTGCTCTGCTTACTTTTTACTCCTCTCTGCTCTGCTTACTCTTTACTCCTTTCAGCTCTGCTCTGCTTACTCTTTACTCCTATCTGCCCTGCTAATTCAGGATTTTGCTCTGCTTACTCTTTACTCCTTTCTTCTCTGCTCTGCTTACTCTTGACTCCTATCTGCCCTGCTTACTCAGGATTCTGCTCTGCTTACTCTTTACTCCTATCTACCCTGCTTATTCAGGATTCTGCTCTACTTACTCTTTACTCCTATCTGCTCTGCTCTGCTTACTCTTTACTCCCATCTGCCCTGCTTATTCAGGATTCTGCTCTGCTTACTCTTTACTCTTTTCCGCTCTGCTCTGCTTACTCTTTACTCCTATCTGCCCTGCTTACTCAGGATTATGCTCTGCTTACTCTTTACTCCTATCTGCTCTGCACTGCTTACTCTTTACTCCTATCTGCAATGCTTACTCAGGATTCTGCTCTGGTTACTCTTTACTCCTATCTGCTCTGCACTGCTTACTCTTTACTCCTATCTGCAATGCTTTCTCAGGATTCTGCTCTGGTTACTCTTTATTCCGCTCTGCTCTGTTTTATTCTCTATTCTGCTCTGGTTACTCTGGATTACTCTTCTTCAGCCCGAGTTACTCTTCTTTACTCTTCGCCGCTCTGCTGTGCTCTCTCCTCTGTTCTGGTTACTCAGGATTACTCTTCTTCAGCCCAAGTTACTCTTCTTTACTCCCGACCACGGTTCTTTACTCCTCTGGTCCAGGTTACTCTCCGAACTCACAGATTACTCTTGGCTTACTCTCTGGTAGTTCTGCTTAGAGTAACAAGTACTCTGAGCTCACTGGTAGATACCGTAAGGCCAAGGAGTAAACGTGATTTAGTCGTCTGTCATCTGCTAAGGTTTTACTCCCGCTATTCTTCTTTACTCCTAGCCACTGCCATTTACTCCTCTGGTCCAGGTTACTCTCCAAACTCACAGATTACTCTTGGCTTACTCTCTGGTAGTTCTGCTTAGAGTAACAAGTACTCTGAGCTCACTGGTAGATACCGTAAGGCCAAGGAGTAAACGTGAGATTAGACTTGAACTACACGTGGACCGGAAGTCATCCAAGATGGCGGAATTACACGTGGACCGGAAGTCATCCAAGATGGCGGGCTTTCAAGGGATTGTGGGAACTGTATGATGCAACTGCCAACATCAACGCTGAATTACAAAGAATCAAGTTAAAACCTTTCAATTCTATCACAAAAAGGAATTATAAAACTAGATTAACACTCACAAACTCTGACAAACGTCCTCTAAGCACCTCTAGACTGCAGTCTCCCTAGCAGCTCTCCCTGGACGTCAATAACATCTCTGGCCAAATATCCACGTGTCACTGTCTGTTTCAGCCACAAACAGTGTGAAATAATCCAATAAACTCCGTCCGTCACTTGGTTAAACTCTATTCTCCTTTTGAGAGTTCAACACTCCTTGAATTGACATCAATTCCACCAGGAAAATCACAATCTTCCATCAACTTCTTGAGCCAGCTTCTGTAAAATGACACTACAGGTCCTCACACTTCAACTTCTTGAGCTAGACTAACATAAGGTGATCAGATCATCTCCTATCTTAACCCACTAATGAGATGCATAAGGAAGCGATCTGATTGGCTACAGCTGGACTGAGCTGGTGTGTTTACTCCATTTGGTAATGCATTGTGGGAAATCACCATGGTAATGTCAATCAAGTAGCTTCTAATTCCTGGTGACTCATAACCATGTGGCCTATTTCTCCTACAGGTTGACCAATTCTAGGACAAGGGTTCCCGCACAAGCAAAGAGTAAGGTTACTCTTACTCTTACTCCCAGCTTACTCCTAAGTTACTCTTTGAGATTTGCACTTACTCTTAGTTTACTCCTTAACTTACTAGCAGCACATGAAGTGTTAATTATGAATAAAAATGGCCTTAAAAATAACAAAAAGTGGGGAATTTCTAAATTTCCCACAATATATAAAACAGTAAGAGCAATATGTTTTAAATGTTAAATAATATAAACAAATAAACCAGGGTGTTTGGAGTCGTAGAAATGTATTGCATCATAAAAAATATACCATTACATAATATTACATAACATTACATTACATTATACAACATTACATAACATTATATAACCCTACATAATTAAAACCTGAAAACAACACCTTCCACTATGCACCAAAAGTACATAACACAAACTAAACTAAAACCTAAGTTAACTATCAAATTAAAACAAGAAAAACGGTAAAATAAAAATAACCCTCAAATGCAACTAAGACCCAAGTGGAGGGAGGGTGGGAGAAAAAGCTAGCTCATATTACTGCCTAATGCTACGTGTAAGCTGCTAAGAGACTGACTGACTGCTAGACTGGAGTGACCATGTGACCTGATGAATAACTCACATAGCCATCAGTACATTAGCATAAGTAAATAAACAAGCCCAGATGTCCACATTATTTAAATGAAGATACTGACATATCTCAGAATTAAAAAATATAAACAAATAAACCAGGGTGTTTGGAGTCGTAGAAATGTATTGCATCATAAAAAATATACCATTACATAATATTACATAACATTACATTACATTATACAACATTACATAACATTATATAACCCTACATAATTAAAACTTGGAAACAACACCTTCCAAGAAACTCTATAAAACAGTAAGAGCAATGTGTTTTAAATGTAAAAAAAATATATAGGAGAAATATATTTAAGAAACACATGGCAGCCATTTTGAAAAATGGTGGCTTTTACACAGTTTACGATTTTAGCTGAAACTTGAGAAGTAGTGGAGAAGTATGTAAATACTATATTACAAGCATGGCACACTGTTTAATGCCATTTTGAAAAATGGCTGCCATTTTTGCATGTGTTATTACATTGTAACTATACCTCGAAAAGTAGTGGAGCAATTTTGTTTATATTTGATATGTAGTAGGTGCCATTTTTATGTGTTTTATTTTATGATTTTTTGCTATAACTAAAAAAGTAGTGCAAGGATTTTGTAAAAATGGCAACCAAGGCTGTTCGATGGGATTTGCTACGCTTTGGCATTGATGTTATCTAGTTCAAAACCTATATACTGAGACACCATATCCTGTTTATTTTTCTTAATGGCATTTATAATTCAAAATAACAGAATTAAGGGAATAACTGAAATTGTACATTTGAAAATTTGAGTTCCAATATTATATTCAGTTGAGAAAAATCTAGACCCCATACTCTAAATTCTTTGAACTTCGTAGAAATGACAAGTTATCAAACTGAAAGAAATTGTATATTAAGTGCAAAGGCAAATGTCTATTGAGTCTGAAATTTTTGTTTTCAGCTGAAGAAGAATCGCCAATTATACCAGAGGACCCTTCCCAGAATAGAACCCAACTTGGCAGAGATACAAGTTTCCCATCCATTGACACAGAGGGGCGAGTCAATGTCAGGTAAACGAGTCTATTTCAAGTGAACAAGTCAATGTCAGGTTAACGAGTCAATGTCATGTGAACAAATCTATGTCAAGTAAACACACCAATGACATGAAAACAAGTCAGTTAAGCTAAGTTCACACCAAAAGCGCTATCAAAGCGCCGTTGGTGTGGACTTAGCTCTAGTTGAAGAAAAACATAATAATTCGTTGGACATTGTCATTTCAATTTCTTCAGCTTCACCAAAAGGGGGAGTTACTTCTTTCTTCCAAATGATACTTTCACAACAATATCCATCACCCCCAAATGCAGTCAGATATTCAACAATTTTTCGGCACCAAATTTTTCAATGCGGACACAGCGCCAAATTATATCGGTTGTGTAATTGATTTGCCCAACAACATTGATGAAAATATCAACTCATTTAAATTCAGAAAATCTGTTTAAGGACTTTTAATCACATCAGGTAGCATTTAGTTAAATTGGTAGCTGGACTTTGAAAAGTGTTCCACTTTACAGGTTTTCTGCATGTTGATTTTGAAGTAATTTTTTGCAAACTAACAGATATATATTATATTGTACTTTTGTATTATATTGTACTTTTGTATTATATTGTACTTTTGTATTATATTGTACTTTTGTATTCCAGTGGAGCGAGCTTCTCTGAGTTCATCCAGGATCAAACAGTGAGAATGTCACCGAGAAAAGGCCCTCGCGAAATGCGGCAACGTCACAAAAAACATAAAATGACACAACAAAAAGAGGATTTTGCTGCAGGCGTGGAGAGGCTAAGCCAAGAGAACTCCGACAAATCCTACAATCAATCATTTGGTAAGACTGAGTGTTTTCATTTATTTTTTTAACAACAGGCATTGAAGAAAATAGATACTGCATATTGAAAATATGACTTAAACATCAAGGATTAGGTGTCCAGGTTCAAATTTCTCAAAGCAAAGTTTTGATAAAAACACCAGGAGACAATCCTATTGCTAGTGTATTTTTTATATAATTTAGCAAAATTCTTGAAAATTTTTGGACCACCCTGTATTTCGGATTTTGTATACATGAACTTCTCATATTTCACAGTTGCCTTTTATTCCATACATTTAGTACAAACAATACAACATATTTCACAGCTGCCTTTCATTTCAAACTCAACTACAAACAACACAACATATTTCACAGCTGCTTTTCATTTCAGACTCAACTACAAACAACACAACATATTTCACAGCTGCTTTTCATTTCAGACTCAACTACAAACAACACAACATATTTCACAGCTGCTTTTCATTTCAGACTCAACTACAAACAACACAACATATTTCACAGCTGCTTTTCATTTCAGACTCAACTACAATCAACACAACATATTTCACAGCTGCTTTTCATTTCAGACTCAACTACAAACAACACAACATATTTCACAGCTGCTTTTCATTTCAGACTCAACTACAAACAACACAACATATTTCACAGCTGCTTTTCATTTCAGACTCAACTACAAACAACACAACATATTTCACAGCTGCTTTTCATTTCAGACTCAACTACAAACAACACAACATATTTCACAGCTGCTTTTCATTTCAGACTCAACTACAAACAACACAACATATTTCACAGCTGCTTTTCATTTCAGACTCAACTACAAACAACACAACATATTTCACAGCTGCTTTTCATTTCAGACTCAACTACAAACAACACAACATATTTCACAGCTGCTTTTCATTTCAGACTCAACTACAAACAACACAACATATTTCACAGCTGCTTTTCATTTCAGACTCAACTACAAACAACACAACATATTTCACAGCTGCTTTTCATTTCAGACTCAACTACAAACAACACAACATATTTCACAGCTGCTTTTCATTTCAGACTCAACTACAAACAACACTGGGGACTTCACCACTGCCTTAGAGAAAATTATCGAAGAAAATGAAGATGACCCAAGGAAAAGTGTCGGGAGAAATCTTCGGGTTCCAAAAAAGAGAGGCAAAATCAATATCACAAAATTTTCACAAGGAGTTCGCACTTTATCGCAACAGGATCCTGATTCAACATGTAAGTTTCCAGATTGAGATTACATGTCCATAGCCAGCTTTTGCCAAGGGGGTTCACTTTTCAAGAAGTGCAGGGGGAGTCCTGATTCACATTTGACAACTTTGGCCAAAAATCACCAGACAAGTACTCAGAATTGTCAAAAACTGCATGATTTTTAAAGAATTTGTGGCCAAGGGGATTCACTCGAACCCTATTACAGTAAAACCTGTCTAGTCTGAACACTACCTGTCTAGTCTGAACACTACCTGTCTAGTCTGAACACTACCTGTCTTGTCTGAACACTACCTGTCTAGTCTGAAAACTACCTGTCTAGTCTGAAAACTACCTGTCTAGACTGAACACTACTTGGCTAGACTGAACACTACCTGCCTAGACTGAACACTACCTGTCTAGACTGAACACTACCTGTCTAGACTGAACACTACCTGTCTAGACTGAAAACTACCTGCCTAGACTGAACACTGCCTGTCTAGACTGAACATTACCTGTCTAGACTGAACACTACCTGTCTAGACTGAACACTACCTGTCTAGACTGAACACTACTTGTCTAGACTGAAAACTACCTGCCTAGACTGAACACTGCCTGTCTAGACTGAACATTACCTGTCTAGACTGAACACTACCTGTCTAGACTGAAAACTACCTGTCTAGTCTGAACACTACCTGTCTAGACTGAACACTACTTGGCTAGACTGAACACTACCTGTCTAGACAGAACACTACCTGGCTAGATTGAACACTACCTGTCTAGTCTGAACGCTACCTGGCTAGACTGAACACTACCTGTCTAGACTGAACACTACTTGGATGAACCAAAAGTGTTCAGATTACAAGGTGTTCACATTTTAAGGTTAAAATGGAAGTCTATGGCACATTTAAAAGAATTAATAAATAGGATGAAAAGTGTACACATTGAGAGGTTTTCACATAAGAGAGATATAGGACAAATAAATGTAACTTTGGAGAAGGTTTAAATGATATATGACGCATATTATGGAGAAATTGGTGTATGTCTACTTAGGGGGTCCTATATTTTCGGGACATCCCGTTGATATACAAATTTACTGTAGGTAACTGCCACCAGATGTTAACATTGTGCCATATTAAAAATGCCTTATTTTCTGTAGTTGAGGACAGTGAGTCTGGGAGTGTATTCACCAATCAGGAGGAAGATGTAGGGGACAACATCGATACATCAAAGGAAGAAGTTCAACGAAACACATCTGGTGAGTAGAAAATGATTAAACATCATAGATTTTTTATATCATGATTTTAAAATGTCACTTATGCCAATTAAAGAAAGGCTATTCCTTGATCTAATTATAGTGTCACCTATATGGTTGGTAGGCAATTGAAAGGCCTGCGGTGATGGATTTCAATTTTTAAGTACAAAATTGTCTATGTCAAGCCTTGTTTTCTTCGATTTAGTCACTTTTTATGTCCCCACCACATAGTGTGGGGCCATATTGTCGGCCTAGGCGCGTCCGTCCGTCTGTCTGTCCGTCTGTCTGTCCGTCTGTCTGTCCGTACGTCCGGCAGTTTTCTCCAAAACCGCTACAGATATCACCTTCAAATTTTCAGGGATAACTTATGAGTGCATACAGATGTGGATGAAAAAAAATTAAATCGATACCTACTTCCTGTCGGCCATTTTGAAGTCAAATGCTAAAATCCTTGTTAACCCTTTTGGTTCATGAAAAACAGTACTTACCTCTTTTATGTCCTTGGTTATTAGAATAGGTGCAAAGGTTTACATAGTGGTATGGGGTATATTCAAATCATAAATACTTTATGATATATATTTTTCTATGTTTTAATTATATTGACAATATTTTTACATGTACATTACAGGTAGTGAAATGGAAGAATCTGATAATATAAGTATAGCCCGAAACAGAGAAAGTCGACGCTCTCATGACAGATTGTCAAAACGTGACAGTGCAGGAATGCGTGACAGTGTAGGGAGACGTGACAGTGTAGGGAGACGTGACAGCTTAAGAAAACAAGACACTTTAATTGAACCCGAAAATGAAAATGAAAATAATGATAAACAAGTTGAGGAAGATGATAACATAGCCGAGGAAGATGACAACAGATTTGAGGAAGATGATCAAGAAGTCAAGGAAGACGAAAATGAAAATATAAGTGATGAAGATGAGAATCAAATTGAAAGAAGGGATTTGGAAAATGACAGTACTGAAAACAGATATGTTGATGAGGAAGATATTGATGACAATATTGAAAATAAAGATGACAATATTGAAAATGTATCTGAGGATGTAGAAAATTATTATGAAAATGTTGAAAATGAAGATGACGATGTTGAGAATGAGGTTGACAATGTTGAAAATGAAGAAGACGAGGCTGAAAATGAGGATGACAATGCTGTAATTGAGGATGACAATGTTGAAGGTGATGATGACAATGCTGAACATGATGATGAAAATGTTGCAAATGATGCTGATGAAGAAATGGAAAATGAACCAGCTGAAGAGGGTGACGAAATTGGAGAAGACAATGATGAGAATCTAGAAGAGGAAGCAGATGTCATGGAACGAACAAGGTATTTCATTTTTTTGCTAGAATCAGAGAAATAAAGGTTGATAAAATTGCAACAACGTAATTATATTTCAACCAATGTTTCCTTTACTATGGTGAATGTATCAGAGATTGGCAATGCAGAACTCTTCTTATAATATTGAAAATAAACATCAATTAATGTTTTGATAATTCAGCTAAATAACATAAGATTCTACAAAGGCAGCAATGCTATATACTAATCACTTTATTCACAATACAGTACTTACAGTTTGAATTCTGATTTTCTTTGTTTTAAATGTTGCCATTTTGCATTTTTATCACTCAAAGCCGCTCATAAATATATTTTCAGACATCGAGACCCGCTTGATTTTGCGACACCTGGTACTATAAGACCCTTGCGCCCTCTTGCAAGAACTCCTTCTAAAGTGCGACAAGAGAGGTATGCTACAACAGTTTATAATTAGTAATATGTATTTTTTTATTTTCTTCATGTAGTCATAGTTCAACTTGCCAAAAGGTGGGATTCGATTAAAGGGTGACGCATATCGTTTAGCAAATCGAACGCTCGTTTCTGGTGTTGCTCACCGTTTAGTATAAAAGGCCCGATCCCGGAATAATAATAAATAATCGTACTCAAGGGTTCACAGGTTCGAGGTCGTTGTGTCAACACCTCTAACTGTTATATAGCATAAGTATATTATAGATCGTCACACATTTATAAAAGGGTGATTTTTATTTTGACAAATCAATTCCACATTTATGGGTGAAGTTTCAGGATCTTCTATTTGTGTATAATAAGGAAAAATTGGCATCTAAATTTCCCCATAACGTAATAGCACACAGCTTGGCATATGAAATATCCTACAAATGAAACAAAGCAAGACAAACCGATTTCTAATACAAGAATTTATATTGGCTGTTGTGCATGTATTATTTGAACGCAATCACTCTTTGAATAACGTTTTCAAAATCATTATAAACGGATTACTTTATCTCAAAGACAATTTCAATAAACTGGATTTTACAGAACTCCCCTTATTTCTTAAAAATGGACTGATCCAGTTGATTCGCCTGGAGCCGCCATATTGTTTTTATACGGGATGCTAATCGGAACCCTTTAATTGAATGCAGTTTTTGAATTTTCACCAGGATGCTGTACATTCCTGTCCACTATTGCACTCAGCTTAAGATTTTAAAGTAGTGCTGCACTCCTTATTTTCACATTCAGTGTTAAATAGTTATTCAAAATTTGAAAGATAGGCATCTACTTTTGATCTGTTTTAATCCTTAAAATCAGATTGAAATAAATAACTTTTTTGAGGAAAATTTATGATATTAATTAGTCATGTTTGGAAAATATTGCGATTTGCAAAAAATGCATAATTTATTTTATTTTTTTTAGTGCCACACCAGGGAAAAGTATAGTTCAACTCTCCAATGCCCAGAAGGCTAGACAGGCGCGGAAACCTCGGGCATCAAAGGGAAAATTGCCGCCACATTTACCGAGAAGCCTCATAAAAGATCTTGCTAAACATTTCAGCCAGGGTATGATGGTATCCAAGGATGCAATAGCAGCGATTGAAGATGTGTAAGTGCACATATTTTTAGTATATGAAAATCACATTATTTTGAAAATGAGCGACCGTCCATTCAATTTCCCAAATATTATCTTTTCCTTTTTTTATGTTATTTTCTAAAATTAATTAATTGCAAAATCTATACAATGAACATCCAAAATTACAATAATTGAAATAAGTGTTTTTTTTGGCCTTTTATGCAATTTAAGATGCTTGTGTTTGGTTTAGATATGTGAGCAGGGGTAGGGGTGAATTATGCAAAATTTTCCTGTATTCCAAGAATTACATAAACTGAGAGGATTCACAATGACATACATCCAAACCTATTTTAATACAGGGTGGCCAAAGAGTAGATTTACAATTGTTCAACAATCTTTAAACTGTTACTGTAAACCTACTTTTTGAACACTCAGTATCATGACTTAAATGGTTAATTAATTCCCAATTATACAAAAATTGGCATCTTATGAATTTGTTAATCATTCGAGATTAGTTTGATATTTATCTATTTTAGATCGGCTAAATATTGGAAAAACTTGGCGGAGGATTTGGGTGCTTATAGTGAGCATCGCACAAGGAGTAGATCAGGTTCTATTACTATGAAAGATGTAATCTTGCTCATGAAGAGGTAAGAAGAGTTCTACTTAAGTATTTATTCATATGATTTTAAAGTTCAAGAACATGGTTTTACAATAATTGATTTTAGGGGTTATTTGCTTATTTCATTGTTTGGAGGTTATGAGCTTTAAGACTTTTCGAAGAAACTCACAATTACACTTTTAAAACATGTTGAAAAATCAAAATGGGAGACCTAGTGTCATTACTTAGTGTACACCCTGTATTCAGGAACATTTACACAAAATTTATGATATCTGTTGTATAATATTCAATTGAACATATGCAAATACATATTATATAAAAAAAATCATTGTTACATGTACATATAACTATTAGAAATAATAACAAATAATACCTTAAAAAGACAATGTCCAGGGCTCTCGCCAGGCTTTTAGACTGTGGCGCAGCACCACACTCTATTTAGCTCCCTCCACACCCTATTGGCAAATCATGACTGTTTCCACAGTCTAAACTTGACTGAATATACAATAATAGCATGTAAAAAGGATAAAACATAACATAAATATGATTTATCACGATTGAACGATTATTCTGAAGATGTCAGCACCACACCCTAAATATTTCCTGGTGAGAGCCCTGATGTCATTCAAATCATGTTGACTTTATGTAACGAATCACAAATCTCCCCCTAGGATTTCCTGAAAAAGTGCTTATTTGTGATTGCAATTGTATAAATCTACATAAACTGAGTGAAATTCACTTCCTAAGTCTTAAAGAAAATCTTGAAGTACATACAACAGGGTCCATCACATTTCTTGAGTGAAGTACAAGTTATATATTTAAACATCATGTGGTATATGTGCTTGTAATGTTAGTACTCTGTCTTGTTCATCTTTTATGAACTCAGTAATATGCTCATGAATCCATTTTAGTCCGACCTGGTTGTAACCTGGTTATATTATGGTAGATGGCATTTGTGTTAGAAGGCATAAATGGGAGTTGCTAGAAGGCACTTGTGGGAGATGCTAGAAGGCATTTATGGGAGATGCTAGAAGGCATTTATGGGAGATGCTAGAAGGCATTTATGGGAGATGCTAGAAGGAATTAATGGGAGATGCTAGAAGGCATTTATGGGAGATGCTAGAAGGAATTTATGGGAGATGCTAGAAGGCATTTATGGGAGATGCTAGAAGGCATTTATGGGAGATGCTAGAAGGCATTTATGGGAGATGCTAGAAGGAATTTATGGGAGATGCTAGAAGGAATTTATGGGAGATGCTAGAAGGCATTTATGGGAGATGCTAGAAGGCATTTTTGGGAGATGCTAGAAGGCATTTATGGGAGATGCTAGAAGGCATTTATGGGAGATGCTAGAAGGCATTTATGGGAGATGCTAGAAGGCATTTATGGGAGATGCTAGAAGGCATTTATGGGAGATGCTAGAAGGAATTTATGGGAGATGCTAGAAGGCATTTATGGGAGATGCTAGAAGGAATTTATGGGAGATGCTAGAAGGCATTTATGGGAGATGCTAGAAGGAATTTATGGGAGATGCTAGAAGGCATTTATGGGAGATGCTAGAAGGAATTTATGGGAGATGCTAGAAGGCATTTATGGGAGATGCTAGAAGGCATTTATGGGAGATGCTAGAAGGCATTTATGGGAGATGCTAGAAGGCATTTATGGGAGATGCTAGAAGGCATTTATGGGAGATGCTAGAAGGCATTTATGGGAGATGCTAGAAGGCATTTATGGGAGATGCTAGAAGGCATTTATGGGAGATGCTAGAAGGCATTTATGGGAGATGCTAGAAGGCATTTATGGGAGATGCTAGAAGGCATTTATGGGAGATGCTAGAAGGCATTTATGGGAGATGCTAGAAGGAATTTATGGGAGATGCTAGAAGGCATTTATGGGAGATGCTAGAAGGCATTTATGGGAGATGCTAGAAGGAATTTATGGGAGATGCTAGAAGGCATTTATGGGAGATGCTAGAAGGCATTTATGGGAGATGCTAGAAGGCATTTTTGGGAGATGCTAGAAGGCATTTATGGGAGATGCTAGAAGGCATTTATGGGAGATGGTGTTTACACTTTGTCCATTACACTTTGTTCAAAAATGGTAATAACAGGAATAATGTCAACACCAGAAGTGGTGACTTATTGTTATAGTCTCCAAGATTTTTGTGGATGGTGTTCATGTTCATTTTTGTCATGTTAATGCCTTGTTTTTTATATTTTTAAACACCTTTGACATATTGACTCGGGCCCTTATTGATTTTATAGATGCTTTTGAAACCCACATCCATTTATAGATGGCAGTTCATGCCATGTTAAAACAATTCACAATTCAAAAAAATATGTGTGACTCATGAAAGGAACAAAGTCATGGTAACATTAAGAGTATTTCCAATACTAATCAGTGAATTCATGAATATCCCAGAAGAAGACTTCTGAGAAGTAGTATGAAGAGACTTCCAAGAAGTTGCAGAAATCAATAACCTAGTCCAGATAAGCGCCAGCAATCAGCAGACATTTAGATAGCATTTTGAACGTTTTGCTAGAACTTGGGAACTACGAGAAGAAGCTAAGATTTCTAAAGAACATTTAACCTTGCATTGAAGACTATAGATACTTATTTTGAATTTTAAACTTTGCCTATTGAAAAATAAGGAAAGGAGAAGCAACTAAAACATGGAAAATACAAACATCTCTGATGAACAGGAGAAGCAACTAACTACCTGCACTGAGCAAATACAGAGAGTCATAAAACTCAACTATGATGCAGAGCGCATCAAGGAACAGAGCGACTTCATAGAAAACATCGTTGATGTTGTCACAACAAGAGTCGGTCTCTTGTACCCAGTTTATAAAACGCATCCAAAGTTACGAAATGGAAGCTTCTACCAGGGAACAAAAATTTTACAAGCCAGTGAGTTTGATTTCTTGAACCCTTTGGTTTTTTCTGATAACAATGGAATAAAGATCGAAAACTATAGGAAGGTTTACATGAGTGATGAAATAAAAGAAATTCTGTCAGAACCAAAGAAAGAATATGAGTTGGCTCCATTTCCTGATGCCGAACATTCAAGAAATCTGCTGTGTCCATTTGACAGCATCACATCACCCATTCATAAGGCTGTCCGTCGAGCTTTGAAAAAGTTACATAGCGAGGGTCAGCTTAAATACATGGGTCAATGCAACCTGAAACGTTACAGTCGGGAGGTTGTCGAAGAAGGAAAGGTTGATCTAGAAAAGTTAAAACAAAGTGAGATTATGTTGGATGAAAACAGATTTGGTCCTTGTATAACTCTTGCTGTTGGTGGGCCACTCTGTGTCTCACATGTAGACTTGACATTCTGTCTTAAAGACCACAAAGGCCAAAATGAAGTTAACAACATGGATGAAAAGCTGTTTGTGTTACCCAGAAACAGAGTTTGGATATTGACGAAGTATACACCTGGTCATTATGAACTTGATGAACACCATAGAAAGATTTTGATGATTCTGAAATATTGTTTACTCGAAAGCAAACGATATGTGCATGATACAAAATACGATTCTCATCTCCTAAAAATGATCGTGAACCACCACCAAGAGTCATGTGACAAAAAATCATCACTCGGAAAATGTTTCTATGATGTAACCCAACAATTGTTCCAGCTCGGGATCGATAAAGACAAATCAGATGATAATCTACATCTCTCCCCCACATGGTTGGAAAATCTCAGAAACGTTGGATACCCACCAGTTACATTACTGGAAAAAAACAACAATGTAGACACTGGAGATATGATCTTTACGTTGGTTCTCTACATTTTAGTTCATTTTATGAAATCTTCCCATGATGCAAGATTCATGCTGAGTACCCGTGAAGTTCTATCAGTATGTCTCCAGTTGATATCGAAATATTCTATGAAAGAGTTGGTGACCAATGTTGGATCTTTGAGAGAATTGACACTAAAAAAGGATGTAAAAGTTGAAAACATTGAAAGTTTTATCACAGAGTTGAGTGGTCTGAGATACAAAGGAGGAGAGATCAACATTTTGTTATCTGCTCTTCCATTTCCTTATCCCCCATATTGGCCCGACTCGTGCAAACCAATCAAAATCACTCAAGATGGAACAATAGAGATAATACATCATACGGACAAAAACTGGACAAAATGGAAAGAAATTATCGACTCCAATCGCTTGGAAGCTCAGCGAGAAAACCAACAGCATGTTCTGTCACTACAGAGGGAGCTGTGTTCAATTGGACGACCCAATGAAATTGACCATCTAAAATTAACACCCGAGGAGTTCAGACAACAGCAAATACAATTTGCAGAGGACATCAAGCACCATGCAAATAAACGTTTAGATCTTAATAAGCAAGCAGATATAACACGTAAAGAGTCGGAAGATAAGAAAACCGGAGATAAGACGTCAGGGAAGCAGATGTCTCAAGATAACTGAAGTCCAGTATGTTAAAATTTTAGGGCAATAATAATCATTCACTTTTTGGCTTCTATGATCTTTCTGTTTAGAAGATTAAAGTTGTTTTAGATATTAAATAGTGTAATCCTTTCTTTCTGTAATTATCAGAGTCAAAACTTGAAAAAAGTCCCCATGAACAATATTAATTAACTACTTTTTTTTTTAAATTGAAAAAGGTAAAAATAGTAAAATCTCCTTTGGCCAAAATCATATAGACCTTCAGAATAAACCCATTTCAAACCATTCCAGTAACATACTGTATAAGTGGTATTTAATCCGAGTGGTTAATTTTCCGAATGGTCAAATTTCATCATTTTCCTAATTTTAATTTTCCTAATGACAAGAAACCTCCCATTGGATAACATTATCAAGACAATATTTCCGACATTTAATTTTCCGAACCTGGCAAAAATTAGGAAATAGGCAAATTAAATGATTAGGCAAAATTACCACTTATACAGTATACACCCTATACAGACTGTGCTATATGGTAACAAGTGGTGCGAATATCATGTGCGCAAGGTTTGGATATTAACGGTCGTCTTTGAATTTGAATTTGGGATATTTCATAAACTTAGGCATGTTGGGATATTTCATAAACAAAGACATGTTGGGATATTTCATAAACTAAGGCATGTGGGGATATTTCATAAACTAAGGCATGTTGGGATATTTCATAAACTAAGGCATGTGAGGATATTTCATAAACTAAGGCATGTTGGGATATTTCATAAACTAAGGCATGTTGGGATATTTCATAAACTAAGGCATGTTAGGATATTTCATAAACTAAGGCATGTTGGGATATTTCATAAATTAAGGCATGTTGGGATATTTCATAAACTAAGGCATGTTGGGATATTTCATAAACTAAGGCATGTTGGGATATTTCATAAACTAAGGCATGTTGAGATATTTCATAAACTAAGGCATGTTAGGATATTTCATAAACTAAGGCATGTTGGGATATTTCATAAACTAAGGCATGTTGGGATATTTCATAAACTAAGGCATGTTGGGATATTTCATAAACTAAGGCATGTGGGGATATTTCATAAACTAAGGCATGTTGGTATATTTCATAAACAAAAACATGTTGGGATATTTCATAAACTAGGGCATGTTAGGATATTTCATAAACTAAGGCATGTTGGTATATTTCATAAACAAAAACATGTTGGGATATTTCATAAACTAAGGCATGTGGGGATATTTCATAAACAAAAACATGTTGGGATATTTCATAAACTAAGGCATGTGGGGATATTTCATAAACTAAGGCATGTTGGTATATTTCATAAACAAAAACATGTTGGGATATTTCATAAACTAAGGCATGTGGGGATATTTCATAAACTAAGGCATGTTGGTATATTTCATAAACTTAGGCATGTTGGGATATTTCATAAACAAAAACATGTTGGGATATTTCATAAACTAAGGCATGTTGGGTACTCAATTATAGTAATCCATTTGTAAAGGATACCTGAGTGATATAGGCTACCTTTAAAAATTTCAAATAGCACAATTATTATCACATTTGAAAAAAGTGCTATTGTTATCGTCTTGTGCTGCTGATCAGGCAGGTTTGGTGGGTACCACCTAAATCTTGTAATCAAAATTCCAGGAATATTGTTTATCAGTTCAACTTGAAATTTTTTCGGATGCAAGATCCCAAGTACCAAGATCTGACGAGGTTTTCAGGTTTTGGGTATGCTGGGTAAATTATGTGGCACATTATGGCAGCTATTAAGCCCTGCTCTTCAAAGTGTGATTTAACACTGTGTGTTTGTTTTATTCTTTCAGGCAAGGCTTCATTACAGAGAATAAATCACTCCACTCTCTGATTGAAGAACATTTGTCGATGGAATACAGAGAACTCCTCATCCCATGTGCACGCTCGGGAAATAAAGTAGTTCCTAAAATGAAAATCCAGAAGTATAAAGGGCACAGATAGAGTTAAACCTAGTTTTAATATAATACATTGAAATAAAGTGTTTTTCTTGAAAAACCGAACAGATAGATATTAAGTCCAATGTACAGGGTGTCAAAAAAGGCACCCCCAATGAAGATTCAAAGAAAGGTTCAGCTTTGCGTAATCCCCTAACACAGGCTGGTATCGAAATATTTGTCCGCTGTGACGGAGCATGCTATTTCTCATAAAAACACTAAGAATACTTCACGATTTATTTTTTAACTCATATGTTTTGTTATACCAAAGAAAATTACTTACTCCATGCAATGGATATATCATTTGCTGGTAACTTTCAATTCTGTTTGAAGTCCAATTACGCTGGGAAGACAAGTTATTGAAAATGGCGCTGGAGTATCATACTTCAAAATGTACCATTTCTTGTTTAACTTTCTAATGGCACAATATAGTGACACGATAATATTTACACATGGTTTCAGCATTACTATGAAGGTATAAATGAAATGTTGATGTATTTGGTCTTTTTTAATTCTTTTATAAAAAATAATGTTTAATTTTTTTGTCCGCTGTGACGGAGCAGTTGCAAATGTAAACTGTAAAAATGCTCCATCAGAGCGGACAAAAAATATTAGTATTATTTTTTATAAAAAAATTAAAAAGACCCAATGCATTAATATCTCATTAATACATTCAGAGTTATGCTGAAAACATATTTTAATATTCTTGTGTCACTATATCATGCCATTAAAAAGTTTAAAAAGAAATTGTACATTTTAGAGTTTGATACTCTGGCGCCGTTTTCAATAGCTTTTACTCCTAGCGTTATTGGACTTAAAACAGAAGTGAAGGTTACCCGCAAATGATATATCCATTGCATGGAGTAAGTAATTTTCTTTAATGTAACGAAACATATGAGTTAAAAAATAAAGTGTGAAGCATTCTTAGTGTTTTTATGAAAAATAGCATGCTCCGTCACAGCGGACGAATCTTTCGATACCAGCCTGTGCCTAAGCACTTTTCTCATATTCCTCAGAAATACATCCCTACTGTATCCATTTTCAAGAGGCCCCCTATCTATCGATTCCCCTACCCTGTCTTTTACAATTTAACCCATATGTTCAGCGTAGTTGAGATCTGGACTATTTCCTACTTATTCATCATTTTAAAGATTTGACCTTCAACCAGTAACAAAGTAACAAACAAAGTACTGAAGTAGCAAACTTCGAAACAATGTTGCTTTTTTAATAAGTAACTCTGGAATTGAATTATCTTACAAATGAGGTATGACAGCCATGTAACATTAAGTACATTTTGCTGTAGAGGGAGTGCCGTTGTTTTTTGACACCCTGTATGTGATCAATTAAAAGTGGTTGATATAATGTATAACCTCATATGGTTGATATATACTTCACATTCATTCTGTACATATTCTCATGTCTATATGATAAATTCACTTGTTTGACCTACTAACTTGTAAATATATCATAAACTGTAACAGTGAAACCTCTGTGAACATCTATCTCTAGTGAACACATGTGTCTAGTGAACACCTCTCTCTGACTTCTGCATAAAATTGCCTTTTTGAAATGAACACCTGCCTACAGTGAACACATTTGTGCGGCTCCATAAGTGTTCACTGTACACAGGTTTTACTATAATATATATTATATCTCGTAGATTGTGTAAAAAGACTACATACAGAATGCGCAATCATATAAATGTATAAACTCATATTATGTTTTAGTTCTGATGTCTACATGAAATAATAGTTTTTAATAAATCAAAAAATATATGACAATGAATATTGAAAGTGACTCAAAACTGTGAATCAATCGGTTGAAAGTTGTCAGACATCAGCCCCATCTTTATGACATATTGAAATTCAATCACCTCCACAATTGTAATGTACTCACATAGAAATAATGTGGTAATAAAGGATACAATACAATACAATATAATTATGGAGTTGATTGTTATAAATGTATCATGAATTGTATAGTGTATATAAATGTAACATAAATACATAAAACTGGACAATGTACCATACACGCTTTAACAAGGGTTTTCTTGGTATTAAGGATGTGGTAGAATTATACAGGTTGGGCCAACATAACAATATCAATATTTTTTCATTTTCCTTTTTTATAGTGAATGGATTTCCACAATAATTTCGCAGAGAATGCCTCAATAGACCAATCCAGTATATCATGCCATCTATTGGTTATGATGTCATTCTAACAATTTCAGTGCTGAAATAGGATTAAAATATTGCTAATTTTCAAAAACTTCTTTCAATTTTGTTTGCAAACAATACTGGTGAAGTATGACATCATAAAGCTAGCCAATATACCCCAGTTTCCTTGGTTCACAAAGAGATGTCAGGATTTATTGGAAAGGTCTATTCATCAAGCAGTCAATCCTAAAATTGTATGATTAAATGTAGCAGTGTTTGAAGGTTCAAACTAACCAATAATTTGACAAATATGTTTGTATGGTTGGATCATCTATTCCGAGAATTGCTGTTTTATAGATTATAGTTCTTTAGGGAATAACTGGAAAATGAGTCATGTATCTTCATCAAAATATATTTGTAAGATACCCATTATTTAGGCTGTAAGAATCAGGCAGGGGGTTCACATCAAGGTTTCCAAATAACATTGTTGGCCCCAAAATATGAAAGAATGAATAAATGTTGATAGAAATTCAATATGAAAAAAACCTAATATGTAATAGTGCCTACACCACAGCGTTACTAGGCCCACTCTGTAAACAAGTATACTGTCAAATCAGTGTATTCCTTTAGTATACCTAAGTTATAAAGTGACGGATCAAGATACATGTACTCAATGAGAGATTGGGTATGTTTTTTTGTTTTGCAAAAAGTAATAGACAATAAATATATTTATTTGTAATATATTTGAACAGATCTTTATTTGATTTAACAAGTGTAAACAATTGTAAATAAATAGTGTACAATACAAAAAATGTAAATATTCTCTTGTGTACAATACAAAAAATGTAAATATTCTCTTTGGTTCAAATGATAAAACTTTTACATGACTACCTGATTGTACAATCATTGTGTGCTTTTAGAATTCTCTTACATTGCTACATGGTTGAACGGTATAAGAACATTTTTACATGTCTACCCAATTGTGCACTATTATAACACTTTTACATGACTATCCGATTGTACGCTGTTAGAACACATTTATATGACTATTTGATTGTACCCTCTAAGAACACTTTTATATAACTACCTGATTGCACACGCTTGGAACACTTTTACATGACTACATGATTGTACGCTGTTGGAACACTTTTACATGACTACATGATTGTATACTGTTGGAACACTTTTACTATACCCGATTGTACGCTGTTAGAACACTTTTACATGACTACATGATTGTATGCTTTAAGAATACTCTTACATGACTACATTATTGAATGTATAAGAACATTTTTCATGACTACCTGATTGTACACTATAAGAACACTTTTACATAACTACCTGATTGCATACTGTTGGAACACTTTGACATGACTATTTGTGATTATACATATTATCAAGTCTGCTTTTCATTGAAACTTTTACAATAAAACCTATATCTTTATTGACATGCTTAATGCTATTACAAGAAGAACACTTTTACATGACTATATGATTGATGGAATTACAAACAACATTTTTGACACAAAATATTAATATATAGGCTATACAATTAGCATTCGAAAAGATTTCTTAGTGTTCCAAAATTTTGTCATGAAATTAGCAGGAAAATCATCTATTTGTGTTCTAGGTAAAAAAATATGAGCGATTTCAGAGGCATTTCTTGATAGAGGGTTATTTACATTCACTAGAAAATATGGCTATTGATTGAAATGACTAGAATAGTTGACTTTCATGAAGTGCCCGGATGTGGTCTATTCCCAAATCTGCGGCATGGATGGTTCCGGAAAACTACACAATAAGAGATAATTTCAAGAATTTCTAAATAGTTAATGGAGTTTTGAATAATTAAGGGCTAAAAAACTTTTTTTGTATCTAATTATTTTGTCTGGATAATAGGAAATCGAAGGCTAGCAATCAACATCTTTGCTCAATAGTTGATCCTTGATTGTTTGTGACCTACAGTTCACCGGGTCATGGTGTTAAAGTTGACCCTCGACCCTTAAATAGATGTGACAGGTGTTAATTAACACCAACGTGAGGTGACTGTGACCTGTTCACAGGGTCATGTTGTTAAAGTTGACCCTCGTCCGTATCAATAGTTAATTAACATCAATGCGAGGTGACTGTGACCTATAGTTCACCGGGTCATGCTGTAAAGTTGACCCTCGACCTTATCAATAGATGGTAATTGATAGCAACGCGATGTGACAGTGACCTATAGTTCACAGGGTCATGTTGTTAAGTTGACCCTCGACCTTTTCAATAGATGGTAATTGATAGCAACGCGATGTGACAGTGACCTATAGTTCAACGGGTCATGCTGTAAAGTTGACCCTCGACCTTTTCAATAGATGGTAATTGATAGCAACGCGATGTGACAGTGACCTATAGTTCAACGGGTCATGTTGTTAAGTTGACCCTCGACCTTTTCAATAGATGGTAATTGATAGCAACGCGATGTGACAGTGACCTATAGTTCACCTGGTCATGCTGTTAAAGTTGACCCTCGACCTTATCACTAGATGGTAATTGATAGCAACGCGATGTGACAGTGACCTATAGTTCAACGGGTCATGCTGTTAAAGTTGACCCTCGACCTTATCAATAGATGGTAATTGATAGCAACGCGATGTGACAGTGACCTATAGTTCACCGGGTCATGTTGTTAAAATTGACCCTCGACCTTATCAATAGATGGTAATTGATAGCAACGCGATGTGACAGTGACCTATAGTTCACCGGGTCATGTTGTTAAAATTGACCCTCGACCTTATCAATAGATGGTAATTGATAGCAACGCGATGTGACAGTGACCTATAGTTGTTCACCAGGTCATGTTGTTTAAGTTAACTCTCGACCTTATCAATAGATGGTAATTGATAGCAACGCAATTGTGACAGTGACCTATAGTTCACCGGGTCATGTTGTTAAGTTGACACTCGACCTTATCAATAGATGGTAATTGATAGCAACGCGATGTGACAGTGACCTTTAGTTCACCGGGTCATGTTGTTTAAGTTGACTCTCGACTTTTCAATAGATGTTACACATGTTGATTTATGAACTGTACTGCAACCTTTCATTCAAGCGGTCGACTGATGTTAATGCCATACCTACTCACAAGCAGCAAATACCATGTGACCCTATGTGAGACAACCCATTTGGGAATGAAAGTAGACATAGAACAAATGCAATTTGTAACACCATACAGCTGAAATCTTTCTTTAGACAATTAAAACATTTCCAGGATAAGCAAAAATTAGTTGGTCGAGACAATTAAACAGTGTCACCAGAAACTAGAGAGCTCTATTTAACGAGGTCTAGAATTCTAGTGTGTAACTTTAAGTAGTTTAGTAACAAGCAGATAACATGTTTCAGGGTCTCTATTTAGCGATACCCCTATTAATGTAAATGCTTGCGTTCGACATAAACCAGAGAGCTCTATTTAGCGAGATCTGATTTAAACTTAACGTTACTACTGAAATTGCTCTAGAACCAAATTTTGCTATTCGGAAAATGTTTTTATTATCTGAAAAAAGGTCAGCAAATATGCGTGTCTCCAGAATTGCATGTGTTTATTGTAAACTGTCATTCCCTCGTGGGTTAACTCATCGTCGGGTTACATGGTTGCATCAATACAGCGCACATTATTAACACGTTTAGAGTAAACTGATGCCCAAACAGAAAAGGCCGATACCAGCAGTAAACAGCTTACGTCAAATCGCCAAAGGTCGATACACAGAAAAGGTCGTTACCAGCAGTTAACTCACACGCCAAATCACCAAAGGTCGTACAGCCAACAGAAAAGGTCGAAAGAGGCAGTAAACTCACGCCAAATCACCAGAGGTCATACAGTCAACAGAAAAGGTCGATGCCGGTAGTAAACTGTTACGCCAAACCACCAAAGATCGTAGTCAACAGAAGAGGTCGATACAGGCAGTAAGCTCTCACGCCAAACCACCAAATTTGGTCAATACGGTCAACATAAAAGGTCAATTACCGGGAGTAAACTCTCACTCTTAATCACCAAAGCTCGATAGAGTCGGAGATGCGAGGCTAGTAAATGTAGGTATACATTACGGAGATCTTACAAGTAAAATGGGAGCATACACCTCTTGAAATTAATTCACCGTCTATTGGGTTATTTTCAATTTTCGTTCCCCTGATATGGACCAAAAGGGTTTGAACTTTGGAAATCTAATGTTTGTGTATCCAGGGGATGGGGTTCAAAGTAACAGGTGATTCAGAGTTGTTTTTCCAGTCTTGGTGTAATTTAGGAACATGAGAAAGGAATTGAGCCCCTTTTAATATGACAAACAAATAGGCCTACGATATATGCTCCAAATTTTCAAATTATAAATGTAAAAAAATAAAAAGTGAACCATCCTCGCAGAGTTGGGAATGAATCCCATCCGTGAATTACTGTGATGAAGATCTATATAATCAATCTATGCAATTCTTTTTGCCGCTTCATTAGCTTTGGCACGTGCCCTGACATAGGTATCATCCAGGTCATTCTGGTGAAGCTCTAAGTTTTTAGCTAGACCAGTCTCCCACTGGAATATAATAACAACAAAAATTAATTATCTCTCGATTAATATTATGTATTATTGTTTCCATGCTGTGATACTCGTTCTCTCATTGGTCAATTACATACCATGTGACTAAAAATATACAGATTTATTACATATATCCACACCTAGAAAACATGTGTAGAATTATATATAATACTAGTATTTCACGTTGCACTGTTGAATGGTCACCTTATCGCCAGGTCAGAAGACTAGAAACAACTGGCTCTTCGGAATAGTAAATCTCAGTGATGCCATTATCATTTTTTTGTTTCATTACAACAATGACTCTTAATGTCTAAACGTATAAAAAAGCAGATTCCATTGAGAAAAATAATGCAAAGTAGTTTCCACGAATATATATAGGTTATTGACTGGGAGGGATTGAATATGGGTTTTATTCCGAGGGACAATATGATATTGACCGAAGGGTAATATGATATTGACCGAGGGAGCGCAGCGACCGAGTGTCAATATCATATTGCTCAAGGTCAATATCATATTTTCCGAGGAATAAAACCCATATTCAATCCCGACCGGAAATGACCTATTTATTCCATAATACTTTCCTCTAAAATGTTACATTTGGATAATGCTTTTATCAATTAGCCAAGGTTAAGAAATAACCGGGAAACGAAAAATGGGTTAATACGTTCCAAAACGATTTTTCCCAGGCACAATACGATTGTTTCATGTAATAGGCTCCAACACGATTTTTCCCGGGGACAATACAATTTTTTCATGTAATACGATTTTTATTCCTTCATATTTCCCTGGGGAGCCAGTAGTATTATGGAATAAACCCCATTATTATATCACTATCTAGCTAGCGACAGTATGATTGGTCAAAACCGGGACACATGTCGTGGGATATCTGGCGATATTCAATGGCAATGCTAATCAGATAAGACAACCGTGAGATATCTAGCGATATCCAACGCTCCCGGGAATTTTCAAAGAATTTGTTTTCGTTCGGGCTTCGTGGAATATCACTTGTGAAAGTGCTACAGGTATTCACCGAAAATAGAGTGAAATATTTGTTCAATATAAATGAATAATTTCGAAAAATGAAAAGTAACCATGAGTTTGGTGAAATAATGAATTATCACTCACCCAATCCAGAGAGTGTTGCGCTCTTCCTCTTTTCTTTTCAATCTCCCGTCTATGATTTTCTTCGGCCCTTTTCATTTTGTCCTCCAATTTTTGAGCAAGGCTTTGTTGGTTGGCCTTTTCCTTAAATTTGCGTTTGTGTATTGCCGTGGATCCTTGCATTTGAGTAGAGGGCTTTCTGGTAGCAGGTGGAGCCGGGGTTGGTCCGCATGTACGCCTAGATGGTCGCGACTCTTGCATGTAGCGATGTTTCGGCACATTTGGCGGGATGACTGCATTTGATTGGCTTATTGGAGGGGGTTCACATGAGCCAGGAGGCGATGGTGTGCACATTGGGCGTTTCTGTTGAATGGCGATATTGGCTTGGCCTGATCTACGGCGCTGTGTTGGGCGTGATGTTGTCGGCTTGGGCTCTTTACGCGAGATGGTTGCAGTAAACTGGTCGTTGTCTATCAAAGGAAGTCCCATGGAACCAGGAGGCGATGGCGTGCAGTTGCACATTGGGCGTTTTTCTTCGATGCCACAGGAGGGAGCGATATTAGTTTTCGCTGGCCTTGGGCGTTGTACTGGACGTGCTGTTGTTGGTCTAGCTCGCTGGCGGGCAGCAGTCAGTTGGCTCTTGTTTATTGCAGGCAGTTCACTACTATTGTCCAGGGTGCCAGGGGGAGATGGTGAGCAGTTCAAAGGTGATGTTGTCCCGGAAGCTTTCACCAGAATGGCACAGGAGGGAGCGGCATTGACTTTCGCTGGCCTTGGGCGTTGTACTGGCCGTGCTATTGTTGGTCTACCTCGCTGATGGGCAGCAGTCAGTTGGCTCTTCTTTATTGCAGGCAGTTCACAACTTGTATCCGGTGTGCCAGGGGGAGATGGTGAGCAGTCCAAAGGTGATGTTGTCCTGGAAGCTTTCACCAGAACGCCACAGGAGGTAGCGGCATTAGCTTTCGCTGGCCTTTGGGGCTGTGATGGCCGTGCTGTTGTTGGTCTAGCTCGCTGGGGGGTAGCAGTCAGTTGGCTCTTGTTTATTGCAGGCAGTTCACTACTATTGTCCAGGGTGCCAGGGGGAGATGGTGAGCAGTCCAAAGGTGATGTTGTCCCGGAAGCTTTCATCAGAATGGCACAGGAAGGAGCGGCATTAGCTTTCGCTGGCAGTTGGCGTTGTCCTGGCCGTGCTGTTGTCGGTCTACCTCGCTGGAGTGAAGCGGTGAGTTCTGTTGTGCTTATTGCAGGCAATTCAAAAGTATTGTTCGGGGTGCCAGGAAGAGGTGGTAAGTAGTCCCAAGGTGGCAGTTCATCTTCAATGGTAGATGGATCGATCTTTATAAGACTATCGTCATTATGTTCTTCGTCGCTAAAGGATACCTTCTTCTTGTGACCTGGGGTGGGCTCACCGAAACAGCTTGAATCATTAAGGGCTTTCAGAACATCATTAGCACCTTCACTGATCCACTCCATTTCGATATCCTTGGCCAACTTCTTCCTGAGATCGGCTATGAGTTTCTCCGTTTCATCAACGAACGGCTGTAACCTTCTGGTCAACTCTTCTTCAAAGATTTTCTCCTTATCTGAATTCAATTATTAATATTCATTTATAACATTCAATGAACAGCATAATGCTATAGACCGCTCCCCCGGTCAGAAATGCTTTTTTGTCAATTTTGTTTACATAAACAGGCGTTAAATATGCCCACCATTTTGATCAATTATGAGTAGCCCCAAATTTTGGCCTTAACTTATCAATAGCACTAATGATATGCTGTTGAGACAATGAATTCCACTTTTCAATAATTGTGTCCTTAATGAGGGACTGAATAGATGTAAAGGATTCATGGAACACTAATTCTGTTAGTTCTCCCCATACTTGGAAGTCGCAGACACCTGGTGATCTGGGAGAGGCAGTTATTAATGGCCCATCTTGTTTGAAAATGTAATGATTCGAAAATGAGCTCATATATGAATGATCTCAAACAACAACTGATGTCAACGTCTACAACTACCACGTATTAGGAAAACTTACAGAATTGGTTTACCATGAACCCCTAACATCTACTCAGTCCCTTATTAAAGATAAAATAGTTGAGAAGTTGAATTCATTGTCTCAACAACATATCAACAAAATTGGTGGACATATTGAACGTCTGTTTATGTAAATAAAATTGACGAATAACTCGCTCTTTGCAAGTTTCGGAAACCCGTTTTGAAATGAAAATGACGTTATTTATATAATGAAGGGTGGTTGACAGATTTTAAAACAAATCTGAACTTATGATAAACCAAATTAAAGATAAGTTAATTCCATATCCACTGGTATATACTATGACATGTTTTCATCAAGAGAATCAATATTTTTTTGAAATACGAGTATATCTCTTTTGGACCACCTCGAATACTGAATTGACCGAGTATGTGACGTATTTAATCTTTAATACTAGGAGATTTTTTCAATTTGGATGCTTAAACTATCATCTCTTGAACTACAATATTACCCTATGAGGGAAGTTTAAATGTATTATAGTACGACAGACTTTGCCACAAATTATTTGTACGCCCATTGTTGGGACTCGAAAATTGGTAGAAGAAAACTTATATCTGCTTTTTTAATTCATTGCTTTTAAGGAGTTAAGCCTTGGACTCAGAACGTAGTTCTCTAAGGTGAAAATCTAAAGCTCAAACTCAAATCAAGGAAATAACGTCCGGGTGGAATGAATTATCCACAGTAGTGTTTTTTATGTTGAATCAAGCTTGATATCAAGATTGAATTAACTTCGATTTGCCATCAACCTTGATTCAACCTTGATAAATGTTTGCCGTGTAGGCTTACATTCTTTCCACACATTGCAAAACCACCCCAAGCAGACTGATCGCCTAAAGTTACATTCGAATGATGCGAAACAGGAGCAAATTTTTTTAACTGCTTAAGAAACTGTGAATGATAGTCACACAAGTTCTACAAGTATGAGAATAGCACTGCTGATATTTCAACTAAGGTAACTCATTTGAAAAATTATTTTGATAAAAAAAAAACTGTTTGATGAATCGATTTTAAATTTTCAGGGATATTTTTCCTGTACAAACGTCTCGAACCGATTGGATTCTGGATAATTTGTCATGGCGGCCATTTTGGATTTTCAGTCCTAAAACCAATTAGCTCAAGTCTTGACTACTATATATTTCAAGCCAAAACTGTTTGATTGATTGGTTTGAAATTAATCCTAATATGAATGTCTAAATTGTTTAGTATCCTGGGCATATTGGTGAATTTTCCATCTAAAATCTTGTCTGCAAAACATTACGTCCAAACCGTTTGATTTCAAATATGGATGGACTGATTAAAAATTATCTTAGTACAGCCGAACTATCATGTCGATTGGTCTGAAACTTTTAGGGACGTTTCTTCGTATGGATTAGAGATGTTTAGTTTTGAGGTATTCTGGGTAATTGTTAAGGTTGACATCTTGGAATTTCCGTGCTTATCCATCTTGTTTGTAAGTCTTGTCTACGCGTTTCTAACCAACTAGTTGAGCAAACTAGGGTGATATAAATGACCACCTCTGAACTAAGGTTGCAATACACCATTGGAAAACTGAAAATGTGAGCTTTAAGAATCTGACCTCCATTCGATTTTTTATGAATGCAAAATTGGATATTAACCCTTTCATCACCGAGGGGTCATTTATTAAGTTTATGAAAATCAATTTCAAAATGACAAGTACCCCTATTGCCAGAATGGATTATTTTTAAGATTACAATAGATTATACTTTGGAGAATATTTATGAATTTGAACCAAGATAGGCTGAGATAGGGGTCATTTAGTGCATTATGCTACAAAATACATCAGAATATTTGTTTTCAGTAGAAAAGAGATTTGATTATAAGTTTACTTATCAATGATATTACTTATTCCAAAGGAGCACTACACACAGTCTAAACAAGTTGAATGGGGAATTCACTACATATCAAGGTTAAGTGGAATCCATCAAGCCAAATATTTGACATTTGACCTCTATTGTCTCACCAATTCACTCATACAGCATCTTTTTTATTTCACTCAAAATGTAGAACTCCATCCTAAGCATGCATTATGTCTAACATGGAGTGATAGTTTGTTAGACATAACAGTCCATTTGCATTCTGGAAACCATATATATATCTACATACAGCCACCCTCATATAAACTAAGGAGAGAAACAAAGTCACACAACTGATCATGAACTGTGAAGTGTAACACCAATATATCCTTTATGCATTTAAAGTACATTCTATATTTGTATATTCTCCTGTTTTATATGAAAAATCAATGAAAAATTATTATGTAAAAAGGAAACTTGGCATTGTTTTCATGGGTATTTTGGTGATCATTTCAAAGAGAAAATGTATTCATAACCACAAAGTGTAAACATCATAATTATATACTGTTGTGTTGCCTCGACCATAAACTTTGTTGTAATGGACATTTAGGTTGGAAAAAACAATTGTCAAAATATATTTTGATTGAAAAGCATCATTGATTTCATAATTTTACTCCTTGATGATGAAAGGGTTAATATCTAATTTTGCATTAAGCGAAAATTCGAATGAAGGCAAAATTCTTAAGTCTGATACACTCGCTTTCCAATGGTGTATTTGAACCTTACATGCCTTAGTGCAGAAGAGATAATTTAAAAATCACTGAGTAGCGCTCTATTTTGTCGGATTGGACGTTTAGGACTGATTAGTTTTGGGTCATTTGGTCAAATCCTAAGACAGGCTTACTGTCTATTTAAGGATGTGATGCTGTTTAGCTTTGTGAAATAAAGTAACTGGTAATAAACAACAAGTGAGTGGAATGGATGGTTGATGCTGGAGGTTTGGAGCAAATTAAATGTTGAACATTACCCGTAAATATCGTTTTATTCGGTGAAATGTAACATTTTCATGAAAACATATGCAATTTCGACGCTGAACTTTTCTTTTCTAGATATCTCCTTTTTATTTTTTATGTGGTACTGGCCACCCTGTTTTGCAACTTCGAAAAACAAGATGATGATATCCCCATGTTAATAATCTGGGGACATCATGATGTCGTTTATAAAGTGTATTGAGTAAGCTACTAACTCAATACTTTTTCAGCTACTCGGCTTCATGACTCGACTACTTGATATTGTATTTGAGTCAGTGAACTTGATTTCTTTTAAAAGTTTAAACTTTGAGAATATGCATAAACTCACCCATGATTCTATTTAAAATGATATGACGATTTTCTTTACAAAATAGAATTCCTTTTTGTCTTTCTGTTGCACTTTTATAATATGTTTTTATACGGTCTGCTTCGTTCATCCGTGCTTTATCCATGACATGTTAATTAATACATGATAATAGCACCATGACAACAATAGAAAGGAATTAAATGTGACGTCCTGCAGATTCCTCGAACCAATGACCGACTATGACGTCATGTAGATTCTTAGAATCAGTGATAAGAATCAGATTTCATCATGACGTCATGCCTTGAGATCAAAATATTGTGACTTTGAAACCATGAACATTGTTTTTGAACTTTCATTTAGAATGCGCATCTATTACCAGAAAAAATATGCTTTAAAAGTTACTAATAGACTTACGCATACTTACCCATCATTAGGCAGGTTTCAAATGAAATCAAACCTCAGATATCAGCAGATAATCAACAGATTTTGACGATTTGTACAATTTCCTGTCGAGACTCGCGATTTTGTTTACATAACAACAATTAAGAGAAATCTTAATGTGACGTCATGTGAATTCTAAGAAGTAATCAATATATATCTTATGACGTCATATTGTCATGTATAGTATTTCCGAGCTCACACAGCTACCATTGTTTTCTAACCAATCAGAATCAATCATATCAGATGGTTCATGCTTCTACGGGGTATATTCAAAAACTTCTGATCTCACCTGTATCTGAATTCCTTCTTGATAAGTCAATAGGGAGGTTAAATTACGTGTTTTAAGATAACCTGAACGTGCGCGTGTAATATTACGACCCCCGGGGATCATTGTCCCGCTCTCAAATCACTTTCCAAGGACCTTGACGGGGATGAAATGATGATGACTGTTTTACTTTATTTCGGTCCAAACCTTCTCTAATTCTGTAAGCTAAAGACTCGGGTAAGTTTTACTCAATGTTGGCCAAGTAAACAGCTGTAATTCATAGAGGGAATTTTCTACATCGGCCATATGCTCAACTTGGAATAGTGTGCACAGGCTCCAAAAATAATCGAGACAACATTGAGACCTCTGGACATGTTCGGGATGTTTTAGAGTCCATTGCAGTATGCATTCCATGGGCATATACATCATGGCTATTCTCCGGCTGTCAATTACCTAAATTACAAGACCCGCCCAATTTGAGACCGCTATTTTATGGCCAAATAGTACTCATTTAAATATAAATAGTTCATATTCATATTCAAATTAGTTGACCATACAATAGCAGTCAAATCGTCAGCCGGCGGTAGAATACGCGAATGCTAGTTCATACTTGAGAGCTGATACAAGATTTGACCATGTATGTACAATCATGGACGTATATCAACTACACACG